AATATTACGTAAAGCTAATCGCACGTGCCTGCTATTAAATGACATCACTTTGCATATCGTAAGTGTTTGAAAAATTAGGATTCTATTAAAAAAATATAAAGTCGATCACCTTGACCATTCCATAAATACTTATTCGATTCCATCGTTGCGTTGCGAATCGTCGTTATCGTGTCGGGTTGCCGCTTTGTGGTATTTTGTAACTTAAGCCTAGACTAATTCACGATACGAAGGACAGTAGTTACCATCGCGGGGAAAATCGTCGCCTCTGTTACGTTTCGCCTCATTGTTGCCGTCGTCTTTATCGTTTAAAGTTTATTAAGCGTACGCTCGCTAGCGCGTTTCCTGACGTCGCCGTTGGCAATTACATCGTTAAACGATACGCCGGAATATCGGTCGTGATCGTTTTTAAATGAGCCAGGATTATGAGGCTATGTCACGTTACGACAGACGACAAGTGGACGAGAGAGTCGCGAGATGAAGCGCGACGCAGTTTCCACTTTGTGACTGCAACCTCGATGAAATGTCAGCGAAACTGAGACTGCTTACGCGTCGCCGATGCGACTTAAACGCGAGCGTCAAGTAATCCCTCACTGATAGAAGTTCGTATCGTTACGAACGATTTCAACGCAAAACTGCAAATTGATTATCATATGATAATTTATTCCGTGACTTCAACATGTCAGGTCGATTACTTATACCCTCTGTTTTAATCTATTATTTTTTATGATCCCCACCCTTCCGTTCCGTTTAATCAATCTCGAAAACGTTGCTCCCTTGGCAACTAACCCGCGTCACAATAATGTCAAAATGATGATAAAATGACTTCCAAAGGTTATTTTTTTTTATCATGACAGAAAATTGATAAAATTATGATTTTGAAATTTACAGATTTAATTTTTTCCAAATAAAGGTATCAAATGACATCACTTTGATTTTCTATAAATGATTATTCTTTGACGTCATCTTGATTTTTATATCGGGCTATCGACTGCGTTCTGAACTGCATCGAGAAAAGAGAAGTGTCCGAACCGAGTATGAAACCAAGTGGGCCGACAATGAGTCGTTTCGCGAGAGGGGAAATGTTGTTCTCCTACTCTGGCATGTCCTGCACCAGAATGGGGGGAACAAACAACATTTTCTTTCTCGTGAAACAATTTATTACCGGTGGTCAGTGTATATATATATATATATATATACCTGTGGCCCCGTAAAATTCTAGATAATACGTATATTTTCCACTTGGCATGAGCGATCCGTCAACGCCGTTACTTCCATATTTTTAGCGAAGTGGCCGAGATGTGCAGCTGTCATTCGAGACGTCGAGTCGGACGTGCACGAATGACATTAGGACATTCTTGATAATTAATTGTGCAAGTGCCTATTGACTACAGCGATGACTTCACTTTCCCTAATGTGTGATGCTAAAATAAATATAATTCTTACAACTTTTTTTTTCATGAAATGTATATTATTGTGAAATTTCGGTTTAAGAGAGTACTTGGTACATTTCCAAACAGTACAATATCCAAAATCGGGGACATTGCAACACGTTTTTAAGACGTTTTAAAGAAAACGTCTTGTGTTTCCGCGCGCATTTTTCATACAGTTATTTATCCACAAGGAAGAGAGCTGCACTTGCGCGGTCGCAAAATGATGCTTGCTGGCGCATCGCCACACCAACTATTACGGTCGCAAGCAACGGTCGCGAGAAGAGGTCGGTTTTCGGCGCATGTGCAGCAGCATGGAATGCAGTAACGTATATGCGAATGCATGGATGCAAGTTTCGGCAAAATTTAATGGATAGACAGAATGGAATTGGGCTAATTCCGGACTAGTTAATTTAAGCTAAAATAGCTCAAAAAACACGTACAACAGGATGTCTACTATCTGGAGAAATCTGGAAAATCTAGAATTTTCAGGCAATTTGTTGGGAAAAATCGGGGAATTTCAATATGAAATATTTATTTTCTAGTTTTTACAGTTTTTTTTTCCAAAATTTTCCGTTCAAAATTTAATCACTGAAACTCGAGTGATTTTTAATTTTATCTTATAATTTGTAAACTTTTACCAGTGGAAAATATTAAAGACTTTGCACAATAAATATATATTTATTTGCAAGATATATTTAAAAATACTTTCATTTGATTTGGAATCTTCGACAAATTGCTTAGAAAATCTGGGAATTCTTAGGGAATTTTTTCTTTTGAGTAGACATCTTGTAGAACAAAAATAAAAGGCTATTTTCATATGTAATTGAACCCTGTACAATCGATTGAGCCCACTCGGAACATAATAGATTCAGCCGTTATATGGTGGTACGATACGCTTGCCTACATTCAACTAGTTACAGTCGTAAGTATAAATGACTGGCCTTGCGGCTCATATCTCGCTTCGCGTATACACTTGGCGCAAGACTTTATTGTGTCTCTTGTTGAGAATAAATGTTGCACGCGAGTGCTCGAATTGTTGAATCTGGTGATCGACGGGTCCAATTAAACATAGTTTAACGTATCTTCCTGTACGTAGCCAGTCGTATTATAAATGTAAAGTCATACAAAGTGGAATAAATGTTTCGAGAGATTCGACTATTTAATATAATAACCCAGCAACAGTAACATAACATCAATGTTATAATTTCCTATTCAACAAAATAAACGCAATATAACACGTGTTATATAACAATTACATTATTGAATGAAAAACTATAACATCGATGTTATGTTACCGTTAATTAATGTTTCTTGGGAAATCATGTTTCCGTCCTCTAGTAATTTTGTACCACGTTTCATATTAATATTCTATATTATATCGAACTGTACATTTGTTATTATTCACTGTTAACGGCTATTATCGAGAACTATCGTCAGCTCTGGATGAAGCGATTTTATAATCTGAATGGAGATCTGGATGATAAATAGTGAGGAAATTATTAAATTAATTTTGTATTATAAGCTAATTCGGCAGTCGGGCAAACTCCTGTAAGGCTTTTTAATAATATCTACCCGATGTCAAGACAGTAATAATAAATAACAGAATAATTGCCATCACGTGATCACGTCAGCATGTAGGCGAACAAGGCAAGCAAGTGCTCCGCTCAGCCGAGCAGCGATTCGGCTCAGTCACGAAAGGGATGCGGCACGAGCCGGTCAGTTTCCGCATCGTGCGTCCACTCTCGAGTAATTATTCACAATCGACGATTTTTACGCGCTCGCATCTGCGATCTTTGTATTATCTCTTACTGTGTTAACGACGAGTATGTTAGAGTGTCTCGTTTGTTAAAAATCTATCGTGTAATCCCGGATAGCATGATGTCTAAAATCGGAACGTAAGACATCTTTAGGACATCTTGAACCTCTTCGTCTGCAACCTTCCTTTAAGACGTAAGCAGTAAGAAAATTGACCAACCACGATCGGTTCTTCTAATAAACGACCGTGGTTGATTGCTTTACTACTTGGATTATTTTACTACATGTTTTAAGCAAGGTTGTGGACAAAAGTCTTAAAGACGTAGGATGTGATATCTTATGTCTCGATTTTAGACGTTGTGTTACCTGGGCTTATATCGATTTCTTAAAGTCGATATACGAATGATATGTAATTGCATTATGTGCTATAAGCGGCAAGCGATATTTTTCAATAATCTGAGAAGAAATTATCACTGATATTACAGAATATCACGATCGGCTAAGTGATCATTATCGATTATTTCTCGACTGGTTAATATCACAAATATAATATAAATTTCACCAAAAAATCACAAGTCTTTAAAACATATTAGTGCAGGTAATAATACACAAATGCATGATGCAGGTCGTTTTATTGTTGCGGTGAAACTTGCAAAACTCTTACAACAACTAGAATTATCGTATCCGCAAAAGATCGGTTCTCGCAGAGGTTCTCGCGTAATAGTTTTCGCGAGGTTTATGTAAGAAGCGGCGAAATCTGAAATTATTTCGAGCCCGCGTGCAACACCACCGCGCGCGATTTATACACGAGGACAGACCACGTGGTCCAATTCTCTTCGCCGGCTAGCTCTAAACTTAGGAACCGATGCGACCCGAATATAACAGGTCCGTTTCGATGGTACACTCCGTCTCTTCCTTCTTTCCTCCTTGCGGAATACGCGTCTCATTTTAAATGCCGAGAACTTACAGAACTACCAAAGAAGTACAGCCGAAACGAATTTAATCTTCCTCACTTTATTCTATTTATTTAATAAGTGCACAATTCAAGTATATGTATATACAATCGTTAAATTATATCCCCTTCAAGGTACCAAAAGATGACCGGAGTTTCGTGTATAATTTCTTCGACTGTCTCGAAGATGAAGAAGCAAAGATTAATGTCAGGAATTAAATTTTTTTTATCATTTTCCCGAGTCCCAATTTCAGTGGTACAGAGACGTGCGATAATTATTCCTACGAATAAAAACGCGCGAAAATAATAACTCGCATAACGTAATTTTTGCGGCATCGAGAATTCAATTAATCGAAAGCAAGTAGGTAGTCTTGCACGTCACCGTATATATCGAACTTCTACGTGTCATATCGCCGGTTTACTGACGCTATCGATTGCGCTACATACCAACCGCAATTCTCTCGTGCGATGTTTCCTAAATGGCGTTCCCGGAAATCCACGGATTTTCCCTGAGTAAAGTTCCTGCGGATGCCTGTTGTAATAATCGAGATTTTCCAACTTCGTCCGGATGGAATACGGTATTGAAGTAAAATCACGACAAATTCCTCTGTTATTACATTACAAATTGCGAGAATCGAAGTGTAGAGTCGTTGCAATAAATTTCACGGTCAAACTAAAGCGTGACTTATTAGTTGGCGCTACGAAATAATCACAAGTTGATTATTCTCGATCACTTTATGAAGGAATGCGATCGTAGCTGTGCAGACAAGTTTGTCGGTCGGACAGTATGTAAATAATATTCGGAAAAAGATAGAGATTAGAAATGAAAGGGCTGTGATATGATATAGAACGCTCCGTTCCAGCTACCGTGGGACATGATCCGCAGACGAGCAACGGTGGTCAGCCACAACAGCAGCAACAGCAGCAACAGCTATACACCGGAGGCGGCGGTACCGGCGATCTCGGCGGTGGACTGGCTTGCCGATCGTCGACGGCAGGCAGATCGATCGGCGGCGGCTGGGAGAGCGGGAAATTGGCGACGTTACGTCATCCTCAGCAGCAACAACAACAACAACAAGGCCAGTCTGGAGGTGTGGGGGATGACGAAGACGGGGGTGGAGGGAGCGGAGGGGTGGAGGGGACGGACGCAGAGGAGAACAACGCTGTTCACCTCAAGAGACGGGTGGGACTCGTCAGTGGGGTGGCTCTAATCGTCGGCACGATGATCGGCTCCGGGATCTTCGTCTCGCCGTCGGGTCTGCTGCTGCGCACCGGCAGCGTCGGCGTTAGTTTCCTGGTGTGGACCGCGTGCGGTCTGCTGAGCCTGTGCGGCGCCCTCGCTTACGCCGAGCTCGGCACGATGAACACGAGCAGCGGCGCCGAGTACGCGTACTTCATGGACGCGTTCGGCGCGCCGCCCGCTTTCCTCTTCTCCTGGGTGTCGACCCTGGTGCTGAAGCCGTCGCAGATGGCCATCATCTGCCTGTCGTTCGCACAATACGCCGTCGAGGCGTTCGCCGCCGATTGCGATCCGCCCGACGAGGTGGTAAAGCTCGTCGCTCTGCTGGCGATCGTCCTGATACTCCTCGTCAACTGCTACAGCGTGAACCTCGCGACCGGCGTGCAGAACGCCTTCACCGCTGCGAAACTGATGGCGATACTCGTCGTGATAGCCGGCGGTTCGTACAAGTTGATACAGGGTAACACGCAGCATCTGCAGACGGCGTTCGACACCATCGACGGCAGCACGATCAACATCGGCCGCCTCGCGACCGCCTTCTACACCGGGCTTTGGGCGTACGACGGCTGGAACAATCTCAACTATGTGACGGAGGAGATCAAGAACCCGTCGAAAAACCTGCCCAGGTCCATTATGATCGGCATACCCCTCGTCACCCTCTGCTACGCGCTCATCAATGTCTCCTACTTGGCGGTCATGTCGCCCACCGAGATGATCGAGAGCGAGGCCGTGGCGGTGGTAAGCTTGGAGAAATGCTTAGTAGTTTCTTTCCGTTCTTAAACTGTTCCTTTTGCAGACGTTCGGCAATCGAATACTGGGCGTCATGGCGTGGCTGATGCCACTCTCGGTGGCGATTAGCACGTTCGGATCCGCCAACGGCACCCTGTTCGCCGCGGGTAGGCTGTGCTTCGCCGCGTCGCGAGAAGGACACTTGCTCGACTGCTTGAGCTACGTGCATGTGCGACGCTTCACTCCCGCGCCAGGCCTCATCTTCCATTCCCTCGTAGCAGGTATGCTCGTTCTCATCAATTTGTCCTTGATCTAACTATTTCGACCGATCTTTCCAATTTCCGATAATATCTATAAGATAAGAACATCTGTATCGCTTGACGAAAAGTGACGCGCGATTATGCAGGCGCGATGGTTCTTTCCGGCAACATCGATTCGCTGATCGACTTCTTCTCGTTCACCGCTTGGATATTCTACGGCGGCGCGATGCTCGCCCTGCTGGTGATGCGGAAGACCAGGCCGAATCATCCGCGGCCGTACAAATGCCCGTTGTTGATACCGGTGCTGGTGCTCGGCATTTCCGCGTATCTGATAGTGGCGCCGATCATCGACAAACCGCAGATCGAGTACCTGTATGCGGCCGGCTTTATTAGCGCGGGCATGCTTGTCTACCTCCCGTTTGTGAAATTTGGATATGTGCCCAAATTCATGGGTAAGTATTTGTCAAGCTCGAAAAGGTCGCTTGCTTCGCTAAATTAGTGGCTGACCGTTTTACTCGGGTAAACAGTGATTATGTATATTGATTTTGTCTTTATATGTAACAATAGGTGATTATACAGGTTGTCCCATTTTAAACTTTGATATCTCCTCTGTAACACAGTGATGAACAAACATTTTTCAGACAAAAGTTGCATGGTTTGGAGGGAGGGGGGATGATGAAAGTACGGACTTGATCTTCCCAAGGTCAGGCCAAAGTCACGTAAAGATTTTTTAATGGAAACCCCCATTTTTTGTTTCACATTCTTGTAGATGACCTCAAAACCTCGAAAATCGCCCTCAGAAACGCAAGTAATTTCGATACCACCGATGTAGAGTTGAAATTTTCATTCCGGAACTCTGTATAAATATGTTACGCACACGTATGAAAAGCTTTACTCTTCGAGATATCATCTCGCTTCTTTGGGACAATTTTTATCGCACTATACTTATGGCTATGTTGAAATTCCCTCATTAAATTTTCCTCATTCTTCCCATTTCAGAAGGTGTCAACGCCTTTCTCCAAATGTTACTAGAAGTGGCTCCGACGGCGGTTGCCTTCGACTGATTTCACTTTGAGATCTACGACAGTTCTCCAGAATGCCGAATCATTCCATTGTGGCATTGCGAACTGCATATATGAATAACCTATTTTAAATATGCGTACAGACAAGAACATATATATATTGCAGAGCTCAAGGCTGGTCCCTATCCTTTTAAAATTAAAAAAAGAAAAAAAGCAAAAAGAGGATCCATAAAAAAAAGGATATATATATATATGAAAATATTATTTTATTACTCGTTATTCTTCGTACATAGTATACAACACACCAGAGGAAATGTTATTGTTAGACATAGATAATTGATGTTGTAACGACAAACAGCAATGAATTGACAAAACATATTTTAAATGTTTCCAGTTATAAAATATGATTCTTTCTTCATCCACCCTTTCCTTTTATGTCCTTTTACATACTTAGAAAATATTACAAAAAATTTCTCTTTCGACAACTGAAAAAAGGTTTGAAAGCAAAAAATGTAATAGGCAACTAGCAAAAATCAAACAGACACAACTCGAATATTTGCTAAAAAGATCAGCTATTGTTTTTTAATAAAAATTATTAAAAGTTTAATAAGCTAAAAATAATTGAAATATTGAAATACCTATAGATATACACACACTGAGTTCTTATTTTCAGTTACAATCATTTTATACAATTCTTTCATTAAATCCTGAATACGTCTTTACCTAGATATTTAAATGTTTATCAACTAAATTCTGCTTTTCTGCTTAGACGGAGCATTTTTTGATACTTTTCCGTAAACTCCTAAAATACCGGAGTTCTTTTTACCATTTTTCTTCAACTTAGGCTTGAGCAAGCTACTGGTAAAACCTGAAGTATGTTGCTCCTTTTTAATCTTCTCATCATCTGTTTTTCGACGTAGTTTCAACTTCTTATAATTCATTCTCTTGTTTTTGGGTGGAACTGCACCCAAGCTGACAGCAAGCTCAATTTTCGTTTTTCTTGCCTTTTCTTTCCCAAAACCAGACATACCTAATTTAATGACATCAAAGCGTGCCCTTTTCATTTCTTTTTCTTGTTCTCTTCTTAGCTCCGCTGAGTTTCTTTTTGTCATAGAATCAATTGTATCATTCTTGCGTAACTCTCGCTTAGTAACAAAACTATCTGTTGATGTCACTTTTTTCTTTGGGACTTCATAATTCACGGAGACATAGTTTCGTTTGATATCAGAGGCACGTGTTGATACAAAATCCTCCATCTTTTTACATTAAAAGAAAACTAATTAAAATAAATTTGTTTCTTGAAGTATTTTATCACTCGACGCGTCAATTATTAAACAATCACATAATACTAACTTGTAATCAGATGGACATAATCGTTTATCCTGCTCTAACCTCTCTCTCTCTCTCACTTTTGGTTACGGGAACCTCAGCAGCATCCCTCCTACACCAGCTTTGCAGCATTCACTCAGTCACGTCGAACATCGGAGGTAGACCGAATCTTGCGTAAGATAGAATTCACACCTTGACCAGAAAAGCAGAAAGCAGCAGCCAATTAGAACTCGCACTGGTACTATTGGAATTCTTCCTAAGCGTGAGCGTCCAAATCGAACGCATTCATACAGACGAGATGTTTCGCCGCAAGAGGCTCCACAGTCAACTCGTGATTTGCCTTTAGCTTCGACGTGAAAACAAATCGTCGTGTGACGCAGAGCGCGTAATACGTTCTTCGATGAAATAACTTTGCGAATATGACGTATCCGCAGTTACATCAACAGGAATTGATCGAATTGGCTGAAATAGCAGGAATTTCTGCGGCACCGCGTGTATTTCGGTGAGAATGTCCTAACGTAAATCTTATACTTAACGAATAAGCATAACTTTCGTTGTACAATTTTTGTGCAATATTCCGTTATAACGCAACTTTTCCCCTTTGTTTTATTCAGGATACTGCTGGACTTGCTGGCGTTACCGGCATCCCCGGAAGATATTTACACTCTCTTAAAAACGTTGTCACAATCTCCGAGTCGACGAATAAGCGACGAAAGAACGCATGTATTTGCGTCTCCTGTCAAGAAATAGCATATTGTGTATTAGATTTATTAACTCAATTTAACAATGGATATTATGAATCATCTTATAAGGAAGAATATGTAGAAAAATAACTCGTAATCTGTAATTCAATGAACTGTGATTATCTTTCTTAATGGAATTGTAGTTTTTTTAACACAATTTGATTTTTTTGTTCATTGTGCAAACAAAAATATTACAATAAAATTATCGGGAAATTAATACTTTTTGACGTATTTTATTTATATTTTGATATTTTTCATTATAAAATGAAGTGAAATATAAAATATTCACTTTCCGACATCACATTAACATTTTTTTATATGATAATACGAGAGAAATCTAATATATAATAATCTGTAAATATATAATATATAATTATTACATTTATTTCATATATATACATAAAATGGTACAAATAATTTCTAATTCTAATTCTATTAATTTGTATTTCCAATCAAATATTTATCTTTGTTATCCGTCCAGACTTTTATACTGTAAGCAGCCATCTCTCGCTAATTTATCTGCCATTTCATTGCCGTGAATTCCCACATGTCCATTTACATGATTCTACAAAAATTTTATTTGAAATGAATACTGACATGGACACTTTGCTTAATTTCTCTTGACTTGTATTAATTAATCCTTCAGTCAACATTTCATATTATTTAAAATATCATGTTGCAAGTATTGTACGGTAAGATATGATATTTACTTCTTTATATATTTTTGATATACCTTACATATTAATCATATATTATTGAATTTCTTTCATATAAAACGTCAAGTACATCTATTACTTACCCAAGCGATAATTAATGATTCCAATTCCTTTTCCATTTCCAACAGCTCAGTTTTGTTTATAACCGGCTTATTGCCGACTGTTGTCCATCCTCTCTGCTTCCATTTCGGCATCCACTCTGTAATGCACGAAATGAGGAATTTGGAGTCCGTGTTAATTCTCAACTTTTTCACCCCAGCTTTCTTTGCTTGTTTAGCAGCCACCGTAACTGCCTGGATCTCTGCCATATTGTTAGTGGGTCGTCCTTCCACTGGTCGAGATACATTCCTGTGAAAGTTAGATAGCTGTTAGAAAAATCATGTGATGACTCAACCAAATGATCGTTGAAAATCGAGGACGAAATGTGTACAAAGGATGATGATCTTGGAACCAAACACCGATACCAGCCCGCGCGTTTTTCTGGCCGTTAGAGCTGCATGCGCCATCGGTGAAAACATTCACGTAACCATCCTCATCCGTGATAAAGTCAACTTTGTTGGCGTCATCCTATACAAACCCAAAGACCAATAAATGTTAAGACTGTTTTTATAAACGATTTGTTTAATTTTGTTTAGTTTATATATCCGTCAATTCAGATTTTGCTTCGTTTTAAATGTGACTTGTTTCAGACCTGCTCAGTAGATTGATTGGATACTGATGAGTCTGTGATTTTCCTTCTTTTACTCAGATATACAGTAAATTCATCATTAGTATCATCATTTGTTGATAAAGTTTTTTTCGAAGATGATAATGGCAATAGTACGTTTGTCTTCAACGTTGTTTGTTTCCTTCCAAGTAGGAACAGTTGTTTCGGTAACATTTGTGACCTGGACAAAATATCTGTATTAAATAACATAACTGTATGCAATTGTAGGAAGCTTTGAAATCCCCAATAATAATTGAAATTTATATAACCATATATAAAGTCTTACGTACAATGCAAAAGAATGAAATACAAAATATAAATATAGAAATTGTGCCACAGACATTTGCTTAATTCCATTGTGTGAAAATTATTCTTAATTTCTATTCCCAATATCTAATTATTCTTATTCCTAATATATGTTCTATTGTGTGTATGGCCTAATACTTCCTTATTTCACATTAAAAAGAACGTTTGTGTTTATCAATATTTACTCGGTGGACTTTGCAATTGTTGTTTCAGTAGAATTGATTCGTGTAGCTAAAGAGGAATGTTCCTTTATAAAATTATGCGCTGCACTCTCGGTGGCAAACTTTTTATATATCGGTCCGGGAAACTTGTTAACTTGGGCGCTACACTCATTCCTTGAAAGGCAAAACATGAAAAAATTATACTTGATTAGATCGAAATAATTAAACATTATTTTTTATTATATTGTTCTTCTTACCAGCTGGTATAAATACCCGGTTTGCGACCCTTGGCAACTGCATAATAAGGCATATGTCTGGGAAAATAATGCCGTATTACGTATATAAAATTCAACCTCATCAATTGATCCGTTCTTTATAGCCGAACTGGCTGCAGTTTATGGCGTTTTCGATGTTGTTGACTCGATCCGACTTGAACAGGTCTCCGGTAGAGTCCGGTATGGTCTGTTTCTTAGCCGCACTCAGTGATGCCACCGAGCCATACGCGAGCCGCGCAAGCGTCGCGTGTTCGTGAGTAGAACTTCGGCCGTCTTCGTATCCGCTGTCTCGCCGACGAGATAGCTGTAGTAATGTCGTGGTTAACAATAGCTGTTGGCAATAGTTATTGGCGTCACTGACTGCGCGCTCAAAACGGAAATCTTTCAAATCACGTATTTTTATTTCATGTTCATATTCTCTTTATTTAATAGCGAATCGAAATACAACCGTATTTCTTCATACATGTGAAGGGGAAAGAAAGAGAGAAGAACTTATAACGAGCTTATAACTTATAATCTTACTATGTATTCTGCATTTAACAGGAGAATGTTTTTAGTAATTCTTAGAAAATACATTTTTTTTTTAAACAGATACAAAATGCATTTAATAGATACAAGATGTATCCATTTTGTATCGAAGTTTTTACAAAGGACACAATAAATGCCGTTTGGAGTTATTCAAAATATTAAGGGCATTACATTATAAAAAATGTATCATTTTATTTCAGGTTCAAAAACCGCAGCATTGGTCTAAACAAGTGATGAAACGTTTAAAGATAGTCAGTATGAAAATAATCCAATTTTAAATAACGGAAGAGCTATTATTAAAAATGCATCCCTGGATGCAGATTTGTGCAAAGCTCTTGTTGTCTTGCAAAATATACTTCATAGCGGTAGTGAAAATATCACATAAAGCATCTTATGATATATCTATTAAATGCATTTTGTATCTGTTTAAAAAAAAATGTATTTTCTAAGAATTACAAGATGTATTGTCATAGAGAGGAAAAAAATATGTTGCAACTTTTAATCATCTGACTGTACATGGCGTTGCGGCGTTATAGTGTCTCTTGATAAAACTGGAATATCAACGAACAGATTAAGCATCTCTGGATCATCAATGTCCGATTCTTTTTCTTTCTCTTCTGCCACCTCGTCTTGAACTTCTTCGATGATTGAAGGAGAATCTTTTGACATTTTGTTTGTTTTATCTGCAGATGAAGAATCTTTAGGTTGCTCGTCTTGCTTTTGATCTGTGATAATGCGTGTGATCGATTCACATTCTACCCTTGTTTCGGCTTCTTTAACGTTTGTCAATTCGTCACTGTTCGATAAACCTTGCTCCTTATTGTAGTGCACTTGTTCCGTCTCCTGCGATACGTTTCTGACATTTTCTTGAAAATTTTTGTTTGTCTGAGATTCATTAGAATTTGCTTCCTTATCATTTCTTCCGAACGATTCTGTACTGTTTTTATCCCACATTGTTGTACATTCTGGCATGGTTATTTTTTGTCGTTTACATGCAGGTGGCGATATATCTGCTTCTTGAAGAAATTTTCGTTCAATCCTACTTTTCTTATCGGTATTTATTGCAGTAGCAATACTAGTAGTAGCAATAGTAGCAGTAGCAGGCTCTTCCACTTGATCTTCCGAAAGAAATTCGTTATTGTACTCACTGTAAATAGAGAATATAAATTTTAAGATCTAACAATCTTCTCTTACTTAAATCAGTAGTTGATTCTAAAAAAATTACAACGTTAATTATAACATAACGTTAAATATACAAACATGAAATAAACAATTAAATTTATATTTAAAAAATCATGTTTTTGTGGGACGTGGATAGGTGTTTCAACAAGAAAATATAGATATGAATAAAACTGACTACTTACTTTTGTCGTAGTAACTGTAATGTAGGGGCTGTAGGATGTATAATTTTTTCCAATTCGGCTAACGCAAGTCTTGCTTCTTGAGCAACACTTAAATCGACATCATAGGATGCTCTATGTGATATTTTCAAATAATACTGAATAGGAGATCTTAATAAAGTATGTGGATTCATTTGTAATGCCCTTAATACTTTGAATAACTCCAAACGGCATTTATTGTGTTCTTTGTAAAAACTTCGCCCAGAATTAGCTAGATAGAAATTGTACAATAAAGATATCACCGTATTCTGCATATTCTGGAAGAAAAAGGCACATAGGTAAATTATAAAAACACACCATGCTTTAATAATAAATTCAAATAAATGTACCTTATAAAACGCTTGTTTCAGCTGAACACTACCGCTATGAAGTATATTTTGCAAGACAACAAGAGCTTCTTTGCACAAATCTGCATCCAGGGATCCATTTTTAATAATAGCTTTTCCGTTATTTAAAATTGAATTATTTTCATACTGACTATCTTTAAAACGTTTCATCACTCGTTTAGACCAATGCTGCGGTTTTTGAACCTGAAATAAAATGATACATTTTTTATAAGACATGTAAGATATAAATTAATACATAATCAACATAAAGATTACTCATTTTTTCATAATTCTGATACTTACAGTTAATAACATACAATCTCGTTCTGGTGTTATATCCTTCATTATGAAGGCCATATATTCGTTTGCAATTGTCTCTACACCCGAGAGTGAACCAGTATTTATCAACCACGAAAGGAGACACTTGTAAGTGGATAATCTTATATTTTTGAAGGATTTACTGTTGCTAAATGTTATATGATTTTCTAAAACTGTACTTGTCCATCGCAACGTTTGTTGAAGCAGATTTAATATTATTTTTCCAAATGGTATCAATTCTTGCGCAAATCTAAAAAACATATTTGTATTGAAAAATATATTACAATATAAAAATTTATTAAGATTACAAAAATGTTTAGATGTATCAGAAGTCACCATTTCGAACACATTCTTAAATAATCGAGTTGTTTATAAGAAAAACACGCGTATCGTCTCTGTATATTAGATTATAATTTTACAATAACATCTCAGAGAGGCACTTACCCATTTATAAATGTATTTAAAACTGTGAGTAAACCAATGTGTAATTTTGGCAAGATTATATACAACATCTGTCTTTTGACAGAAGTTTTATCCTTCAGATTTAATGGTGTAACAGCCAATCCTCTACAGAGAATTTCCAAGATGTCAAAAGGCACAACAGAATTTTTTGCATCACATCCGCTGCAATTACAAATCAAATGTTTCAAGAGTTTTGCACATATTTGGAAAATATCACAATGCAGATATGATATAAATTGAAAAATTATACCATAACATCGAGGAGAGATAAATGCATAAGTTTAAAAATCTCTGTTTCTGGTCATTGTAGTACTTTATCACATTTTCTTCGGATATAGTAGGTAAATCCAATTGATCCCAAATATCCCAGGATTTCAACTCTGTTAATTCAGAGAACAATTCATCCATTATAGCGTGCAAGCTATTGCAAAGTAAGGCTTGGTTATACGTCAATCTGGTATACATGGACTTGGTTGGTGGTGGTTGAAAGGAACGTTCTGTCGCCTTGGACAAGAGAACGTAACACTTGGCACTAGCATTAATCAAATTCTTCTGTGTAGAATCAATCTGTTGCAATATTATCTTTTTCATCAATTCCTAAAAATATGAAGATGCTAATTTGTCAAACAACTTAGATAGAAATGTACTTCTTAAAATCAATATTCAAGTAATTGAAAGAAGTATATATATTTTGTGGTATTATGACCTGTGACTGTTCACAAACTTCAGGATAATGATACAGCATAACAGCAACCAAATAGTACATTGTGCTGTACTTTTTATTTCTCAGCAAACTGTTAACCACAAGTATCAGCCGTCTTATGTTTTGTATAGAAACTGGCTTGTGTAATTCGGGGATTTCCTTGCAATACTCAAGTAGAAAGCTTAATATTTTGCATGCTAGCGTCACTTCTTTCGCAGTGCTGTGTGTATCTTCCAACAGCTCAGTAGCTTTGGTCATCCATAATGGAGTATATTTCGTAAGTATACTCTCGGAACATCTAGGTAAGATAATGTCCAACATAACCAAACCGCTGTATCGAGTATTTACCAGATTTATACGAGAATTAATGCTCGACACAATGGTGCTTTGGACGACATCAACCTAAAATACATACGTCTAACATATTTTATAAAATGTGCTGTTTTCAGTCTTCAGATCGTGACCAAATTCGATCCAAATAGTAAAACTTTTGAATACTTAGAAGCTATAAAATAATATTCTTTACCTCTCGGTTGTTAAACGGCACATCGCTATTGTTAACAAACAAATCGTACACTATCAGTTCGAACTCTTTCGAATTCTGATCGTTCGTGTCCAATAATTTAATTATTGATGCCATATTTTTACTCTAAAATTCCGTTCAAGTACTTTGGGATACACGTGCGCTTTCTGATAACCGTACAGAACGTTTTTTTTCTTTTCTATATTTAGATTGATACGTCCTTGCGTGTATTCCAGGGTGGACACATAACACACAATTTATACTTGTTACACGTTATATTATTCTACTTAAACTTTAACGGAATATTTCTAAATTTGTTCCAGATCTGAATAAAAACAATTAAAGGATAACTTTCTACATCTCATTAAGGCGAATTCTCATAGAAGCAGTGTTGCCGGAAGAAAAAAAATTTTACTATCAAAAAATTACCAGATACCGTCAAAATGTATGAAATAATTAACGTGTGTTCCGTTTCACGAGTGTGAGCGTCAAGGTGTGAATTCTCCCTAATAAAAAAACGCGGAATGCTTCTGATTGGTTAGGCTGTATTTAGATTAGCGCAATATGCAATAAGCATGCAGCTCTTCTGGAAAAGCAGTACGCTCATTGGATATTATGGTCGCATATCGCGTTGCGTATCACGCTGGTCTGCGAGAGCCATCATGTGCGATGTAGAGCCGGAAAGTTTCGATGGAAATTAGACCGTTATTGTACATCAGAAACTTAGCAAGAGATATATTATTGCATCTGTTTTCCATTACTGCACCGCACTGGCTGCGCTAGTTCTCTTTTCCTTTATTTCAGACTCACATCTTTGAATTTACTCTGATCATTGACGTTTTACAGATTTCACTACGTTTAAACAGACTGCTCATCACCACATTTACATCAAATGAACGAATATTTATTTACATTATAAGTACTTTTACACTAGTTGTATACAAAATAATCGACAAATTTAAAGCCAGTTATCCAGTAAACACGATGACATATCAAAAACGTACCAGAGCTGTTAACGTTATAGACATCATTGTTGTCATCATATTTGATGAATAGGTTTTGATCATTAGATTAATAGTCTCAAAATTAATCAAATTTATAAGATAAAAGAGAGGTCTTAATGATTCATTGTATTTAGGAGAAAAACATGATGTGTGTGTGTGTAAATTATCTCTCTTGATTGGTGTCAAACTCAGAAGAGATTTTTTCCAGTAGTCTGATACACATTTCTTTCTCGTCCCGATTGTCTTCGAATCTCTCATTCTGATTATTTTCGAAATCACTTAGTAACATATCGAAGATAAATTTCGAACGCAATTGTGGTCGTCGGAGTTCTTCCAGTGCTGGTAAAAAATTGTCACTTACCATACTACACAACATTCTCAGTAACTGTTCTCTATAATAAAAAATAGTGCTCATAGTTCATTATATAAATACAAAAACAATATAAGAAGTTATAATATTCTAATAATATGCTATGGATGCATTACCTAATTTCGAGCTGTAAATTATCTCTAGACAACAGTCCGATTGCTTGCTCGATGAAACCCATTTTTACTAAGGTATGCTTTATGTCACTCGAGTTTTCCTTGCTACACAAGTTAGAGAGCAAAAATGCAGACTTTATCTGCAACTTCTCTGTTGAGCTCTGTAATGCTCGCAAAAGTACAGAGTAACCATCGTTTATTTCCATATATTTTAACGATGTTGGATTTTCTCTAACTATACCTAAACTCCAGATATAGTTTAATAGTTATCATTCTTTGGAATTTTAATATATTACATTAATTTTTGTATTCTGTAGTTACTCACATGAAACTGCGTAAAGAGCTTTTATTTTCGAATGTTCCGATGGATCTGTGTCAACCATAGATAACAATATAGGAAATAATCCAGTTTCCAATATCTTTTCTTGACAATATGGATTATTCTGCGCCAATTTGGCAATGATATCGGCTATCCTCCATCTTATATTACTGTGTGAAGAATTCAAGCACAGCTGAAATAGCGAGAAGCCGCCAATTTTATGAAAATCATTTGCTACATCAATGTTGTCCACATGATAACCAATTCTCTTGAGCGCATTCTCATACATCGATGAATCTGCATCAGCTTTTAAATTAACAATGCCGGATAAAGTTTGTATATCCTCTTGTAACTCCTCTATTACATTCGCTGTCAATGATGATAAAGCGTTACTTAAAAATGTTTTTTTCTGTAACATATAAATATAATATATATTTAGAAATACAAATAATAAATTATTAACCAATAATTGCAATGCATACTTCTTCATCCAAAGGGTAAATCTGAGATTTGTCTTCTATATTCTCCAATTGCGCCACATCTATAGCATACTTAAGCAATCCTTGCAAGTTAGTTGGTTGTTTTGGTTGATTCAGCAAAGGCTGCAATAAACGTGAGGTACGCTCAGCACTGTTAGAAGTGGAGGGACCTTCGATGGACAGCTGCCTGCTATTTGATTCATTTTGCTCAGCGTTCTTCTTTGAGTTTCCATCTTCAGGCCTGATATCAAATTTTTTAATATCCATTTACGTGAAAAAATATTCAAATTCAAGTGTGTTCAGATTATACTATTGAATAAACAATGAATTGACACCTACTTGTCCATCTTGGGACCCAATTATAGTGGTAAAAATATAACGAGTACAAAATTTTACGCTCAAGAGTCAAATATATGCCTGATCTCAGCTTCGTAACGACGTCAGGAAATTTCTATTATAGAAAAAAGTAATAGCTGTGTTCAGCATAGAAAGCACTTCTGGAACTAAATTGCAGAAATAACGGATCTAATAATTTGGTAAACCCGTTATTTCTATAATTTGGTTCCAAAATCTCCGCTACGAGCCGCCACTTTCCTTATCGAGAAACGAAAGTCGTGATATGACTAAACGGTGTAGCCGGGCGTACTTTCTATTTCTCAAATAGTATGACTCAAGGACTGGTCAGAAGTACTTTCCATTGTAATAAAACATAGATAAGATTATGATAAAGATTAATCTTAATTCTTTTTGCCCTGATCGATCATCCAAATGTTATTCTACCCTCAGTGTGGTGTTTCCGAACGCAGCCTTGCTGGAAAGCAACCGTTGGTGGACTCTGGGGTCGAATCAGTAAATCGTATACATTATGATTGTGCGGAGAAAATATTAGTTTCTTTATTTGAAAATTACTCGTGCTTGTGGTGTCGTAAATTTTGATATTACGCTGCATGTGATTACATTTATATTTTATTACGGTTACTCAGGCTTATATTTGTAAATTACTGCAACACGGCTCGTTGGTCTAGGGGTATGATTCTCGCTTCGGGTGCGAGAGGTCCCGGGTTCAAATCCCGGACGAGCCCGGAGATTTATTTTTTTGTTAATATTTATAATAGGATTTGCTTTATTACATTAATATTTTTGTACTTAAGCAGTACTTATAGATCCTCCCTTTTTTATCGTCTCTAAAATATGATTACATATGATGTCCTCTCAATGTAACAGTTTCTTATTACAATTCACATTTTGGAAAATTACGGGCTTACGCATACATCGAACGCTGCATTGCTGGAGTCTCGATTGTTAACATGCGACAATGTCGCTGGCGTGGAATCCTTCGAAAAAACACAGCGAGCGTGAGAGGTAAATGATTTGCCGTGCTGTGTGAAACCTACTGCAAAAATTATTCATATCTTTTAATTTCTGAAAGACAATATTTCTCTATTCACTTCCCGTTTGCAGCATTGTTGAAATATGTTGCGATCCATATGTCACTTAACCTATATTTTTTTAAGTCACAAATTTAACGTTAGGATTGAATTCATATTTAAATTATATAAACTATATAGATTCTTTTACAAACAGAATATAAAAATGACTATACGAAATTTATTAATATATCGTTCTTAATTTAAATATTTGAAACTTATTGTTTATAGCAATGGAAAAGTTTTAATTTGCCACTAATCTGACATTTTATTTTCGACAGATGGATATGCATTTACCCAATATATCTGAACAGTAAGAGGAGTTTGATGGATGGGCGAAAGCTGGCCAAGGATAAGTGTATTGAGAATCCAACGCATCAGGAGATACGGGATGTGTTGTTAGCAGCAGGATTCAACGTAGGCGTCGAGAATAAATTGCATCCAAAGGAACGCAGCAAGGAGCCTCTCTATCGTGGCCGTATTCGTGTGCAGTTAAAAAATGATGATGGTACACCGGTACAGTCTGATTTTCCCACTAGAGATTCTCTCTTGGAATATATCGGCATCACAATTCCAAAATTAAAGACTCGTCAGGGCAAACAGAACTCTAGCGAGCAAGCATCACAACCATCCACATCAACATCTAAGAAAGGAAAGGGCAAGGGGAGAAGATAAAGAAGACTTGAAGTCATTAACCATATATATGATGGATTTTTGCTTTTATATATATATATATATATATATATATGTATGTATGTATATATTTTACAATTATAAATAATTTTGTGTGTGGCATACGTATATACACGTATTCACATTTCTAAATGCTGTACTTCTCACGTAACATTTAAAGCAGGATTATCATAATATTATTTGTATTTTTTATATCTTTTTACTACCAAATTTAAATTAAAATTCAAATTACTAGTTGTGCTAAACGTGATAAAATGGAAATGTCACATACATATATATATATATATATATATATTTGTTTTTTTTAGATTTAGAATAAAGCAAATTCTTATCTAAAACTTTTAGTAATACATAATTAATGCTACATGGACATGTTAAATGTTAACATGTTAAATGCTACATGGACTATCGGTAGTCCACACGATGTGAATGGAAAATCATGTGAAATTGGCACGATGCTTAATATATTAATTATCAGTTGCTAGGTGACAATTTGCTATATGATCATGTTATGTAATATTATTATTCATCATTGTACTCTGGAATAGTTTCAGATTAACCCTTTGCACTCGAGGGCTCTGCTATGGAGACAATACAAATAACTTTCAGTTCATAACACAAGGACAAAGACAAATTGTAAAAACTATTGTGTATAGGATATTCCGCTCTTGCTATTTGCATTGTCTCCATAGCGGAGCCCTCGAGTTTGAAGACAAATTTTAAATGGCTGCGCTCCGGAGCCCTCGAGTGCAAAGGGTTGATATCAAGAAATTGAATATAGTTGCTATTTGTGTTACATATGTGGGATGAACAGATTTCTCATAAGAGACCAGCGTCTTATATGTATATGATAGTAACCATTTCTTTTCTGTTTCATATAAACAAATCAAGCCTGTTTTATATTTTTATATAAAAATATATATAAAATTTTGTTTTCCAAATAAACTGTAGTAAGATAAACTGAACCGTAGAACATGTTAAGATTAGAAGAATTTGTATATTTAATAATTATTAATGGTTTGTATTAATGATCTCTGAATGGCAGGCGAGTAATGAACAATGAAAATATGTAATCATACGCCGCCTGTTGTTGTCAGGAGATCATCAATAAATTTACGCTATCTTGAGTGAGATTTTATCTGCAAAGTGCATCCCATTGCATCATATGCATATATTCACTAATATTGTACAATTAATTCCTTAATAACTATTGTGAAATTTACAAAAAATGGTAAAATATCTTTTAATTTGATCCGTATGCTATATATAAGCGTTATCTGGATACTAGCGTTTTATCTTTAATTGACGGACGCGCTGTATATTACAACAATTAGCAATGCTTATTAAATTTTAACAAGGTTGTTATTTCATTAGTTACGAAACATCCGAAGGTGAACGTAAGACGGTCTTAAATATAAGATCCGATTATGAATACTATGAAGGAATATTTTAACTTATATAAAAAAAAAAGTTAAAAAGTTAGAGTTAAAAATTACTAGTTTAAGTCAAAAGTTAATCCATTTTAAAAGTAACTAAGTTAAGTTAGGAATTCTTAACTTTTCAACTTAACTTCCGATTAATTTAGTTACCACCCAACCCTGGTATTTCTAATACATACATTCGTATGCACATGCAATGGTTATAAATCTAGAAGATGGGAAAAGGAAGGGAAAACGGGGGGAATAATAATAAGTACAATACACATATAGTTGAAAATGGCAACATTTTATTGTGCGTTTTAGCACGTGAGCTGGCAGTAATGTATGATCGCTGAGTCTCACGAATATAAAAAAAAAAAAATAGAGAGAAGAGATGTGAGCCGCTTCGTTGCGAGTGCGTATACTTGCGAAGGGAAGAAAACACAAGATCGCAGATTTCCTAAGGCGTTTAACTTCTAAAAACGGTCATGTCCAATCCTCTACGGAGAGAAAACCAAGATTCCTTTGGATACGATTGATCATCATCATTAATTACACCGCCCTTACAGAAAAGAATTATCGCCTGTGATAAATTGCTGCCAGTGATAAATTACTGTTGCTCGGTAATTCTACGAAGAAAAGAACCGAACAACATACATAGAATATATTAGCGGGCAATTGATCACAGTAGACAGTTTTGCCTTTCCGTAAGGGCGGCGGACGGATCTTCAATTTTCGGCCCGAACATTTCTCGGGGAGAGTTTCTCTCTCGCTCCTAATAATAAGCCTTGTACTCGTGGCCGTCGACGGGCAGAGCGTTCGCCAGGCTGAGCGTCGGCTCGATCTCGATGCCGGCGTGCAGAGACACCGGATGATGACTGACCGCGGCCGCGGTTTGAGCGGCGTGCGCGGCCGCAGCCGCGGCGTTCCCTTGTGCGGCCTGGGCGGCGTTCGCGGCCTTCTGCGCCGCCGCTTGCGTGGTCTCGAAGTCGAGTCGCGCAGCCGCGAGCTGCTCGGCGATCGACTCGGCGCGCGCCTTCGCCTGACCGACCATCGTCGTCTGGGCGGCGAGCTCGGCGGCGGCCTCGGCCGCCGCTTGGGTCGCGTGTTCCGCGGTCGCCTGCGCCGCGTTCAACGCCGTCGTGATCACCTGCACCTGATGCATCGCCTGCTGGGCGGCGTTCTTCGCGGCCGCGGCCGCCCGCTGCGCCTGCTGCAGCTGCTGCTTCTCGCCGTCCACCGCGACGTGCGCGTCCCGCGACTGCTGTTCCAGGCCCATCACGATGATCTGCTTGCCGGCGAGAGCGGCGGCGGCGGTGGCCGCGGACTGGGCCGCCGCTTGGGCCAGGGTGTTTTTAGCTACGTAGGCCGCCTGACCGGCGGCCGACGGCTGTTGATTCAACTGGGTGTGAGCCTGCTCGGCCGCTCCTGTCAACGAAACCGCGAGAGTCAACACCCCGCTTTGCCATTAATTGCCTTTTCAAATTAGTATAGCCATGTAGAGACATATATCGATTATCTATGATTGTATATATCATCTTTTTCCTCCCGGGCGTTTATTTTATTCGTCTTGAGAGGAATACTTTTTTCGTACGCATTTCACTTGAGCGAATTACCTTTGGCGATACTGGCCAAGGGACCACCCACGCTGTAACCGGGTCGAATAAAGTGGCCCGAATGATGACCGCTTGCAGCGACGGGCCCAGCGTCCACGTAATGAGGAGATTCGATCAAACTCAACGCAGATGCATCCGGTACCGCATATTCGAACTCGTAGCCGTCGACTATGTGTTGCTGGTCGATTATTTGCTTCTTAGCTTTGCCGCAATACGCGAGGGTCACGCAAGCCAGGAGTACCAAAAGGGTCTTCATGTCGAGTTTTTTCGTTAGATTTCGGTCGGTCGGTTGGATGAGTAATGCCTGTGAACGACTTATAGCGTATTAACTATTGCTGACTGACTTCCATTGATTGTGCAAAAGTTTAATTGATGATTGAATTGCTAAAGATACGGTAAATAAACATAATTATATATATATATATATATATATATACAATGTGGGCGAGTAAAATGTAATGCCGATGTCGACATAGGATCGTAATGAACGAAAACGAGTCGATTCTTCCGTATAAATAGCTACCACTTTCTCGCATTTTGACATCCCCTTCTCACCAAGAACGGCTCGCGTATTGTTCCAGTACAGAATCGCTTTCGCATTTACAACTGTGGCGAAGTAAAAGTGGAACTCTCGGGTTCAGTTGATTTTTGTCCTAGAAGCGGATATGCGAGACGGTACTTGGACTTTTTCCTAGCGATCCCGCGATTATCTCGCGGTGCTGTTTTATCCCACTGACTACGCAGGCGTGAATTCGTTTAACCGATCGCGATAGTCAGAATCGAGTCACGTTCTCGATTACGTAAAACGTAATAGGACACCTTCCAAAGTACAGCGGCAACAATACAGGTACGATACGATTTTAGAATCACTCGAGCATTCATGCGACTACGCCGATATGAAGTGAATTCTGCGCGAGTTTCACATAGATGTGAAACATTCGTTATTTTTGATTAATAAATATCAATCACAGTACGTAAACGTGCAAATTTTGTGGAAACTGTACGTTTTTGTAAAAATTGCTTCTGTACAAAAATAATGAAACCAGAAAAAGAAAAGCCAAAAAGCCGATTAAAATGCCATTTTGTATATTTTCCATTTATTTTTTTTTTTAACAAAAAGCTGCATTGCATCAACGCGACGTAATGATTAATTTCAATTTTAGGAATAATTTAATCTTGTAATACGGCACGTCGAAAGTCGTTAAAAATTTCAAAAGCGTGTCGGTGCGTTTCAAAACTTTCATTAACTATGTCGTTTCGGTTTCGTAATTGTTTCTTTTCCGCCTAGCAGTCGGTCATTTCTATCGTTTCCGAGCCGACTGTCAACGACGTGCACGATTGCTCGTTCCGAAACGAATCAAGCGTGAGAAATGTGGACCATCGTTGTGACGATGACACGGTATGTCGCGTACTTTATAACAAACCGATCATGCCGCAGTTTTGTTCGGACGAATGGCTGGAGAAAGCGATAAATAAAAAGCGTGATGCAACCACGAAAGTGATCTCTATGGATGACACAGTGTCGATACGATTGATTAATCATGAATGCGACGCGAAGCGTTACGGCAGGAACTATACCTTAAATTTTACATTGTTTATCTGTGCACTCGTCGAATGTATTTTGTTACACGTGCCTCCCTTCTCCCGATATTTTTTTCCTTTCATATTCGCGATCTTCTGATTAGATCTGTCGAAGCAACACATGCATCGAAATCGATCAATTTAAATTAAGGCGATTGATCTTGTAATGTTTTTTTTGTCATTGTCATGGATGTTAATAAAAGCGCTATTTTCATACCTGAACAATTAGAAAAAGGCTCTTTGGGGAACTGAGATATTTGCAACTGAAGTTAATACATTTTATATGTATTCCTTCACGGGGAAAAAAATCTGGTTGCATCAATCAGAAAGGGAACAATCAGATGCGTTCTTTGAAACATTGCTAAAAATACGATACTCAGCGATACAATTGTTTTAATGTATACGTAAATGTATTCTCGTTTGACGAAATATGGAATGGAAGCCGAACCGCCCGATTCAGACAAACGTGAGAAACACGCGTGACGCACGCGTCGCCTTTCGAAGTTTCGCAACTAAGCGTCGTGTGATCGCAAACTTAAAATTGAAAACCTGTTCCCCCGTCTCGCTCTGAAAAGCGCGCGCACACGTCAACCCGTATCGCCAGACATTATCTATTACGAATCGCGTAAAGAACAAGTATACGTATTAATTCCAGCGCATTCATAATTGGAGTTACCCGCTGACCATGACTAGAATTCACGTTCATTCTTTACACAAAAGATAAAAAGGGCGGTGTCTTCGGTCTAATGAGGAAAATCCTAGGATTTCATTAAATCAGATATTTTAACGTTTAAAATGAAGAAACGAAAATTTATGTCTATAAATGTTTTTTAGAAATGTTACAAACGTTTGTACAAATTACAAATGTTAAGATTCTTTTGGGTGAAACCCATTGAGAAATTCTCCAGACTTCGCTCTCATTATACCTGTCAGTTTTGCTACGTCCTATATTATGCAGGTATTACGTGATCGCGATGTTAAGATCTGCTTAAACTGAAGCACGGTGCGTTTATCGTAAACACGAGTGGGGGCGTCAACTTTTTTTCCGTGGGCGTATAAGGCGTTCAATATTTCTTCATATTCTCTCACTTTGCTAATTAACCAAAACGTAAATCTAGTTCACGAACAATCACTATTGCAATAATCTATGTAGTCAGTAACAATAACAGAAACGACTAACAACAACGATACTAATGAATCGTCCACAAATTTATTTGAAGATATACACTGTTAATGTTAATAATATAGCTTTATAATTTTTGTAGCTATTTTTCATAATCTATATGAAATTATAAGATCTACAAGTTACAAGCAACAAGCTACAATAATAGATAATTGCGCGAAAGGTGTTTTAGCAACATTATTAACGACCTCGTCACATTGACACTAACTAATTTGCATAATTGCGAAGGTTGAGTAAAAAAAAGAAATGCATGCAACATCAATAACGCATGTAGCCGACCTAGAAACTGGCTTACACAGGAAATTATATAGAGAAGTAAAAAGAAAAGCAAGGAAGAAATTCCATTCCGATTAATAAAAAATATTAATTTATTAGGAACGAGTCGTTTGTGAAGTTAAGTGTTTTTTGTTCAACGCAGCGTAGTGAAATTTTCCAACTTGTGTAAAATTGTATTTTAAATATCAAATTATATTTTAAACATTTATCTATACTTGCAAGCAGAAAATTATATAGTGAAAGTTATAACTATAGAATAAATATAGAGTTGAGAGAATTTGTCTGAATTTATCCTTCCGTTTTATATGTGCTATTTATATTTTAATCATATTTAAGGAATTGAAGAATATTACTAAAAAATTTATTATATTCCTTAGCTAGATAAATTCTACCGTCAATTTGTCTCTGCACTACTAAAAAACATAATAAAATTGGATAATAATTAATATGAACAAAAAAATATAATATTATTTCTGTGTATGCATACTGGTAACTGCTCTAAACTTTTTAAAAAAGATTTATACAAAAATACGATTTTTTAGTTGGATTAAAAGCAAAACAATGCTCAGCGTAAATTTCGAGTCGATTTGTGTCAATTAGCACATATTTTCTGTAACATGCAAAGGGTATGCGAAATACGGGTGTTTGCATTCCAGCAATTATACAGTTAATTATATAATTTTCTTTCACTATAGATATTTCCGAAATGCAAGACATTTATAAAACGCGAATTTATAAAAAAAAATTATTCATCGTATTTAACATTCAGTTTCCAGAATTTCGAAGAGCTCTTCACTGTTATCAAACATTCTACCACTCATAGTTATTGTGTCGTATTTATCATATTTTTAATATTTTTCTCTTCCTTATTCTTTAAGAAAAAATATCAAAATTAAAAACTAACTTTCGTCGTCATCGAGTTACTTCAGTCAGTGAACACAAAATTATTATGATCATCAGGTTGCGCAGATATTTATACTTAGACAACACTTTTACGCAGATACGTAGATTTTACGTAGATCTAGAATCACTTTTGCACTATTGATATTCGTTTAAAAATGTTACAAATACCGTTTCCTTATAAGTGGTATCTTACGAATAGCGGGAAAATAGAAAACTAAGGCGACGTTTCCATACTTACTGAATATGTGGTCTAAGCGATAGAGAGAACAGGAGCCTTGCTCGAAGACCGGAGTTAAGAACTGATTCCAGTTACTTGTTCATCGGAGCTCTTATAGTCCTGTCTAGTCTAGCTAATCTATAGCTACGGAAGGGGTTGCGGACGTTCAAAACAGTGCCTTGAGAGTATTCTTTTCCGTTCATTAGGTTCCGCTCTCTCCCTTCCCTCTCCCACCCCCTCTCTCTCTCTCTCTCTCTCACACACTCCCTCCATTCCTCTTTCCTCTCTCTTCCTTTTAAATTTTTACTCACATTTAAAGGGATCCCGATCCTGAAAATTTATTGCTAAGAATGTATTCTTATGTTTTGTGTTTTTGTGCACCTTGCGTTGGTTACGTCCAGAAGACATAAGCGATCAGTGAAATAGTCAGTGATTATTATTGGTTTTTACCATTAGACCCCTAAATCCAGACCAATTACGTAGACGAATTAATCAACGTTGTACTCAATCGTTGTGTTCTCTGAACGCAACTATTTTCTCTCGAGTTCGCGCGCAAACCATGCGAACAAGAGAGAATGCAGGGGGTCACAAATGGAATGCATTCTTTTCTACTTGCGCACTTCAACTCTCACTCCTCAAATAAAGGCAAACGCTCGGTCTAGATACGCTATGGTATTCGTAGTTGCATGACGTTATGTTCTCAACATTGGCAGTGAATATCGGAATGCACCTTGCATAACATCAATATTATTAACCTTCTCAACTTGATCGATAACTGTCAAATGCTTTCATGTAATTACAACTTTTCACCTTATTATTATAATTTTTGTATAATTATAATTATTTCATTACTACACATCTTCCGTAACTGAAAATCTATAGTATACGTGAATGATAGGTTTTCAATGCTGATATCACTACTACTACTACTTACTAATATTCGGAGCTCGGCCTTCGTGTGATAATTTCACGGTAAACTTCACGAGGGAAGAGCGAATCGTTCATTCGTTTTTGCCGTCAAATTGACAACGCCGGCCACAATTTTTTAACGATTCGTTATGACTTTGGCGAATAGGGACGAAGTATCCATCTGGATTCGCTCATCAAAATGAACATTTTCTATGTTCTTTGCGTCAGTGAGTGCGAGTTAAATTATTAATTCATTTGTGTTGGTTAGTTTTTAAACCGCCGAATAACTGAACCGCACCTGTCCTAATCATACAAACGCTGCTCTTCAGTCATGCTGATGCTCGCGGGTTCCGATTGCAGGCAGGCTCGTAAAGTCCCGCTTAATAATCCTGCGGTAAGTTTTTCTCTTCGTCGAAATCGTTAGCATTATAACACCACATCGGAACAATTACAGAATCAGAGAAACACTCGACACGCCAAGAATGCAAACTGCCGCAGCGTAATAGATCCCCCGAAGAAGATAGTCGAAAAAAGCAGCAACATCGCGCAAAAGGCGGCCGCGGAAGCAAAGGCTGCGTCCGAAGCTCAGAATATCGCTGGTCAACAGGCAGCACGTCAAGTACTTCAAATGACATTATATATGTACACTATTTTTCAGAAAGACATTTAGCAGAGGACAATTTCCTTCACGTGATACAACAACTTTATTTTCATTTAAACAGCACATACATACGTGTGCTTTACAAATTATGTTTATATTTTATTTATATATATATTAATAGATATTTAAAAGATATTTCGTATAATATGTTTCAGTATTTTCCAATTTGTCGAACCTATTTGTAACCTATAGAAATATTAACCTTTCTGTAAATTCTCAAACTGTCACTCCTATTTGCTCACGTTTGTTTATTTAGTCACTCGCATAAAATACCATCCAGACGTTTGGAAGAGATGAAAATCCCTCTCCTCTCTCTATAATACAAACACACATTGTTGTGAATCCCACTCTTTCATTTGTATCATGGATAAATAAAATAATACATTCCGTAAATTTTGTTCCTCCAATCTCTCTCTCTGACCCGGAAGAATCGATTATCGGCAGCATTAGCGGTGAAGAATGTGGCTTTTTCTATAATTTCTCAATTATAGTCGACGAAGCCGCTGCGAAAAAAATCGCCATGGCACGAGAGCAATCTGCACCGTCGATTATACGCGCGTGTGTATTTCCTTCTCTTAATGTTGTGTATGTGATAGGTGAAGGCGCAATTGGCGGAGAAGGCGGCTCAAGCTGCAAAAGCCGCGGAGGCGGTCTTATCGGGCAAGGAAGCGGTGGTCGAGCAGTTGCGGAAGGAGGTCAAAGAGGCACGATCGGTGGTTCAGGAAGAGACGTCCTCCCTGCAACAGGCGCAGGCAAATGTTAACGCTGCGATCCAAGCGGCACGGCAATCCCAGGATCAGGTATGGTACGTGAGTTTTTTCAGTTGAATCGTGATTACAAATATGTATCATATGATTCAACTGCAGAAAACTCAGATCTAATTCGAAAGTAAAATTTCGATATCTTACGTGGGATAAATTTCAAAGTAACAACCCTTTTAATCTTTGACCGCGAACTATTCGTTCCTTTTCCAGTTGAGAACACTGACGAGCGCGATGCATATGGCCAAGTCGAACGCGGCGAACGCGCAGACAGCGGCGAGCGGGGCGCAGAAGTCGCTGCGAGAAAAGGAAGAGCTGCTGGAAGCGGCTAAGAGACGAGTGGACGAGCTGTCGAGTCAGTTGCAAACCGCCCGGCAGGATTTCGCGAACACGAACCGCGCGGCGGCCAAAGCGAACGCCGCCGCGCACGAGGCAAAGGCGAATGCGGCCAGGAACAAAAGGAGATTGGCGAGTTTGAGGAGATTGCGCGCCGCGCGATCGATGCGGGTCACACCCTGAGACCAAATTTATTCGCACTTATGCGCTTTCGAGTGAAATACTTCCGGAGGAGAAAGGGTCGTCTCGTTTAGAAATCTCGACGATCGAGAATAAACAAAAAAGAACACTACATTGACGAGACAAATGTAACGCACGAAAAAGATGAGAGTTTATGAAAGAAAATCAAAGTCGACCAACACGCGTGTAAAATTTCTACATGGGATATCTGCAATTTTAGATAACGTATATTCGTAACAAACGTTGAATGGTTTTCGAAGTCGGTAATATTATGAGGAAGTTGTCAAGGCAGCTCTCAAGACTCCACCCAGGTCAAGTGAGATCAGGTCGCTGGATAAAAATCAACCGTTAAGTAACCGTTCAGATGCGTATGCGTAATTTTCATTATATCATTATGTAATATCACGTACACGCTGACATTTACATTGAAATCGTGACTTAAGCACCGCGAAGCAAAGACGGGCAGTCACGCCTCGGTAAATCGCCTTTCTAGAACACTAAATGAATGCATCTCATCCACCTACCCTGACCGTATAATATCGATATAGAATTGCGTGGTCGTTATCTAATCCGGGAGGAAAAATGCGCACAAAAGTATTCCGCTTGAGTCATCAGGATCCGCGCGCTTTGCACGGTAGAGTCCGCGAGTTTCTTTCTCAGGCCGCGGTTTTTTCTCACGCGCAAAAGACTTTCTCTTCCAATCCTTGATGTGTATATCCTTGATTTATATTCAATCCTTTCATCGCATACTGTATCGATCGCTCGTTGCAATTTGTATCATCATCGTACAGAAATCTTGTATAAACACGATGTCATTGTCGAACAAACGCATATCACATTTTTCATCTCTACATTATAAAACAAATTTCATACAAAATCTATGTTATGATATTCTTTCCACAAACGTTTAAATTGCAGCGCTATTAATATTTTGGAAAATTGATTGATTGCACTCCACTGTATATCCGATACAGAGAGAGGGAGCATGTTATATATATAATATAGTACATATAGAATATGTATCACATACAGCACGTGTCTAACTGATCGAACGTCACGCAGGCCAACACGTGTATTGCAAAACAGGTTTATCATTCTTTCAGTTTAGGTCAATGTTCATTTATACGAGAACGATCGATAACGAGCCCCGAGATTCTGATACATTACACCCGGTTCCGCGGATGTTTTACCATTCATTCAATTAAAAGTCACGAACAATTTTCATACAGCCGCATTCATTTCTGGTTACGCGTTTCTAATTTTGCATGACTGTTGATTAATTCAGAAAGCAGAAATGAGCTTAAAATAGAGGTGATATTTTGACAGCTTGACGTTTTTATACGCGTCAGTAAAGATGTCCGCTCATATGTAACGCCTAATCGGCAGTTGTTAATTAATTCTTTATATTAATTTAATATATTATCCTTTTATTTATCCTTCTTAACATACTTACTTCTCTTCTTCGTACGAATGAGAAAACTGCGCCCCGGATAAAATAATGTCTTAAAACGGAACATAAGACATCTAAAAGACGTGTCACATAACGCCACTTGCACCATCAGATTACATCACTTATTCCGCTCTTTGCAGAATTTATTTTATGGAAAGAAATTCGCCGATTCTGGAAACTTATGAAATCTACTTGAAGCAATTTCTCGCCGAAAAAAATGGAAAGTTCTCGAAGAACGGAATAATTAAATTGGGAGAAAGTAGTTGGACAAAACGGTCATTGCGTATTGTTATAAGATTTTGAGTTTCGCAGACATAAAATATGTCTTTAAATTTCCTTTAAAAAGAACGAAAAGATTTTTTATCCAAGCCGAAATTTGTATGTTCTTAAAATTAGGATGTGACAATAATTTCCCATGTTACCCATGGAGTATACTATTGCCAACGCATTTTCTCTTAAGCATCCCCAATATAATGTCAACGATCCTGAGACTGAGCGTTGCGATTATTATTGGTTACGTCGAGCACGTTGAGCGAGCTGGAGCGGCAAAGGGGAAGTAAAGAAGCCCTCGAAAACCGCCTCGTATGTAAATCATTCCGATCTAGAGATAAGCTCTCCATTAAATATCAATTCCCAAACTGAACATTACATAATTACGTCAAAAGTGAAATACTAAGTACTATACAGGGAGTCTGAAGAAATCTTTATCCAGTGGTGTGCAGGTAGAACGGATGAAACTGAACAGAAAAAAATCATGTCCCCTGTACGAATAACGAAGACGTAACATATAATTATATTCAACTGAATATGAATGGTTACTCTCGTTCTTTCCGCCCAAATTGAAATTATCCGGAATCATTGATTTCATCTTGAAAGAAAATGACGAACTTTCCATGACACTTGCGGTCTCTCTCATGTCTGCACTTTCACTCGAAATCCTTCGATTATTTTTAAATGTGATATTACTGTGCAAATGTTAATACGCGGATAATACTAACTGTAAGCCCCAGCGATTCGCAAGGCCGGTTGTTCGTCGTCGTCGTTGCCCGAGGCAAAATAAATGAACGAACTGGCACGATACTTTTGTAATGCACGCAATGCACGTACAGTCTTATGTATCTTAACCAAGTATAAAATGTGTTATTTTAACGCTTACAAGCGTATTGACACGACGCACAAAACGTCGAGACAACGTAAAGCCGATATCCATTTTTTTTTATCACAGTATGCAGCAGCGATAATATTATCTGTATGCGTCGTCTAAAAACGGACGATTCTGAAAATGAGTTTCAGTCTTTTACAAAGTTCGAAGTATTAGTTCCGTCTTGACTACGACCGCTCACTTCACCGCCATTCAAAGCCATTCACCGCACCCGAGAGCATATTTAGCAATTCCTTTTGAGTACGTCGCCACAGGCGCGGGCATAACACGCGTAATCATTTCATCCCTATAACTCAGACACGATCGTTATCATTAGCGCGCATATAATCACTTGAAATTAATGATCGAAAGTCGGCGCGATTATTCCTTGTTCCTCGGGCAACAACGTGGGCAGCATTCGCGAGGGCAAATGTGATCAAACAGGAATCCGGAAAATAATCCGACATGCGATCGGAACGAGGTAGTTTCGTACTTATCGCTTTTCTCTCTCTCTCTCTCTCTTTCTCACGATTGCGAAAATATCATTCTTTACTTTTGGAGAACGACGATGAACGATGTTTACTCAACTCCACTTTCGATGGATTTCCCTTTTATCACAAAAAAAATGTACGTCTTGTAAAGCATCTTCCGCTCTCGATGTGCATGAAAGCGTTTCGTATCTCGATAACAGAAATACGATAACAGAGCTGATTCGACTCATTGTTTATGTAACATTTTTCGTTTAAAATGACTTGCCAGGTACACTGGCGAAGTTTGTCGGTTCATTCGCGAAACCACAGTCCGCTGTAAATTTTACGTGGCAGAAAGGCAACAAATCTCACACAGAATCTATTCTAATCTGACGATTAGTTACCGAACTGTCGCCAGAAATCTAACAAAGTTTGCTGTATCAGCAGATCGACGACAGAAACCGAGCACAGCCTGTAGCTTATCTTACAGATCGTTACTGGCAGATTGGTGGCAAAAATTGAGCAGATTTGGTCTGATGTCTGGTTGTGTGTAACACGGGCTCTGCCGATAGAATACAAACTGAATGCAGAGTACGTCACTTTGCTGACACATTTTAACCAAATCCGCTGCCAGTGCAGCTAATGACATACTGCTAACATTTTGCTTGCGAGGTGAATGGGCATATGTCGTTGATAGATCTTATCCTTGGACAAACGTTATATTTTTTTTTCAAATAGTACGACTTAACAATTAATCAGATGGATAATATCGTATTTATTATTTCTTTCTCTGCAATGCCTTATATAAGTTTTTCCTTATTATTTAATGGCAAATATTGCGTGATTTATTTATTTTTTCTCGCTTGCTTGCACTCTCACATACATCATTCACGATTACATGCGCTAAGGAGAAAAGAACAGCGTATTTTCCACAAGACTATGACATTGGCAAGAACGATTACCTTTGTAATCACTTTTCGTATAATATGGAATAAAATAAATTAATTATGAATATGAATATATAAATATGAATATTTAGAAATGTTGCAATGGTAAATTATTGCTTCTCGAATTGCTGCTAAAAATTGAGTTTTGTTCCAACTGCATATGTTTCAATAATTGTTTTTTTTCTCTCTTAACGTCAAGCATCAATTTTTACCAATATCAAGGCAATTTGAAATTAATGAATTATTGGTTTCTCTTGGGAGAAACAAAGACAACCAATAAAGGTAAAAGTAAAGATAGGATAATTATAAACGTAGGATACAATTTAAGGTATTATATGATACTATATAACTAGACATATATATTACGATGTCGAAAAAAGGGGATATGTTCCCGATACTCTCTATATCTAAAGCTTCAATTATATTCTAAATGTGTTTCAATACACATTCGTGCTTTCGGGAGATGGTTTTATATGGTCTGCTTGGAACGTATGTGTTCATATACAGCCGAATCAATCGTCATACCGTTCATTCGAATTCCAATGTTTCAGGAGCATATACATCATTTCAATACGTTTTTAACAATAATCATGAATAATCGTTTGTACATATCGGCGTATATATATATATATATATATATATATTAGTGTTCACAATTGGCGGATACCTGAACAGAGATTATTTAACAGAGAGAAAGAAGCAACTTACTGTATAATCTCAACTTTAGAAGATCACGAAATATGCAGCGGATGTTAATAGCGGGTCGGTAATAACGGACACACAACACGGACTTACAACATTTTAAAAATATTCCTTTGTACTATGAGAGACTAATCTCCCAATAAACATCCGTTTTGCATAACACATAACATCGCTTTCAATAAGGACTGCACTTGTATTGTTTCACAAAGCAACTATATTGGGGAAAAAATATACTCTTTGAGTAATATTCCTTCCGGTAATTTTGGATTCAAATAAATAACAGAGAAAGAGAGAGAGAGAGAAGTTACAATCACTTACCAGTTAATTCAAACGTTATGTTCGACACAACGTTCATCCGAGCATTCTTTTGTGAGCATTTGTCATAAATTTTCTACTTGCGTCGCGAAATTTGCGCAAGCCGAATAAGCGCTAAAATGAGGAAATTTTGAACGATCATTCGTCTCCTTTCTTCTTCTTTATATGACATTACCGTATCTACATGCCGAAATATTTAAAAAAATATCACACTACATCATATTAAAAAATTACAGCCAACGCAACATCATATACGCAAACATACCATATAAGAATTGGCTTCTTTTTTGTTCACGATTCCTTAAGATTACACACCACCGATAAAAATCATCACGTATTTCTGCGCTTCATTCTGACGCGATTGAACCCGTCGACAGTACAATGTAAAAAGTTTCTCGATGCTTATATGGCACAGTCAAAGTATATATGTGAATGCTCAATGTGGAAACAATTATTACGAGCTCGAAGAAATATATACACAACGCCGATGTGATGTGTCTACTTTCTTTCATAACGCTTCCGATCACTCATCCTCCATAAATTCTAGGATCAGTAATGACACGCGAGATACCTCTGCTATATTGCTTTTTCGCGTAACATTCTCGCATAACGAGATCCATCCCTCAACTTCCTTAAATAGTGATAGAGCAGCAATTTATTCGCCGTTATAAAGATATCCCTATCATCAACTCATACTTTTTTCGAGCACTCCCTCCCGTGTATCCACATTCCTGATACTTTTACTAACGCAGAATCTCTCGATTATATAAAAGAAATATGTCTCTTCTTCTCTACTACTGATTGAAAAGTACGTTCGTATATGATTCCATATAAAGTGCTCACCACCACAGAGCGTATCGCTTCGTTTATTTGCATGCTATTGATTCTATCGATCGTACAATATTCCACTCAAAGCACACGGCGAAATAGATTATTATACCTTACGATAAACATTGTGCTCGATATACTTTACAAAAAAATCTCGCACATCTTGCGCACATCGTTCTAAAGTAAAATTTGCCTAACGTTTCGATATTTCCTTCGATTTAACCTTTTTTTTTGTTTCTTCCTTCGTTGCAGATACCGACAAGTTTTTATTGAAAACAAAACGTGGAATATATTGCGCTTGGTGAATTAATCTACTATACATGATAAAAAAAGAACGAAACCTTACAAATGATTCATTCGTAAAACCGTAAAACAACCTAATAAAATATCAACGACGTATCTGACTTTCCATCTAATTTTGTCGACTCTTTGGCAACTCCACAGCAAAAACGATCATGCCTGTAAAGCATTAATAAGATGCAAATTTACATATGTCATTATCCTTTACGAAAGGGACTACAGGAAAATATAAAATGAAAATTAATATTAAAAGATTCTCTAACTTTTAACGACAGTGTCATTGTTATTACGGTGTCGTCGCGCAGCAATAATATATGACGGAAAAGCTGCTGACAATCGCTGATTTTCAAGCAATGATGGCATCGAGCCACACCACACGCACGCAAGCGTCGCGTGTCCGTGAGCACAGCTTCGGTCATCTTCGGCTGACTTGACGCGAGCCGACGTATCCGCTGTCTCTCCTTTTCCAACGGTCTCGCCGACGAGATAGCTGTGGTAATAGTCGTGATTAACAATAACTGTTGGAAAGGGAAAGACAGTCGGCTCGCGTCGAGTAAGCCGAAGACGACCGATGCTCACGAACACGCGACGCTTGTGTGATTCGGTGCCATTATTGACATCACTGCTCGAAAATTACGCCATCTTGAAACATTTACCTTTAAAACAGCGTTGAAAAATCATGACAGAGATAATTAACTCTTCATTGTACAACACAATTTTTATTTCGTTGAGCTAGTCCGGCGCGAGATAAGTCGCGTTCTATTTCATCGTCATCCTCGATGCTGAAATTGTTAGAAACAAAAATTAAAGACTTATCATTCTAGAGAAGTGGTGGAAGTAAAAAAAAAAAATATATATAGATATATATTTGGTGACTCACGCTCTCTCTTGCGTATCAAGATGATGCACTAATTCGTCTCTTTTATTGACAATAGACACCAATTCTTCTAACAATAAATTCTCGCGCATTTTTTGCTCGGACGTCTTGCGCCATTCTTCCACCGCAAGAATGCTTCTTAGTTCGCGATTCAAAAGCTCGAATCGTCGCTCCAAGTCATCTTCCTTCTCCCTAAAGATACATAACTCCATTTATTTAATTGTGATTATTATTATTATCATCGTCGTCTATATGATTTTTAAATGAAATCATAAATATTCGTGTAATGATATCGAAAGAGGGATTTTTCGACAGTAACAGATATATTTTCTCGTCAGCACGAATCTGGAATTTAGTCACACGAACATTTCTCTTAGTATAATAATAATTAGTTAAGTATGTCTATGCCATTAAAAACAATTTGGTCTATTTTATGTTAGTTGATAAAAATTGCATCTTACAACATAGTGCTTTCAATTGTCAAGAGACGTATCCTCGTGAGCTTAAAAAGATGGCGAAATACTTACAATATATTCAGTTGCATTTGTCTTCTTAAAAGTGCGTTCTTCTTGTTAACGAGAGTGAACCACAGAGACATTAGTCTCTCCGTCTCGTCCTCGTTATCGCTTTCCATGGCCGCCCTGAGTTCTTTCTCCAGCTTGCCGGCCTGTATATCGATCTGGTTCTGTTCTCTCTCAAGCGCTTCGAGCTCGTTTTGAATGTACGATGTCATGTCCTTTCCCAGCTGGTTATCGGAATTAAATAGCAACAAATAAATTCGTCGTTAGACAAACAGGCGAGATCTCATCGATAAAGCATCGATTTTACATACACGTACCCCGCGCAGCGTATACGGAGTCCTGTCGGGACTTCCTTTATCGGGTGAGATTTTCTCGATGATCTTCGAAAAAGAATACAAAGGCGAACCGGTCTTTTTATCACCTTCTATCACACTCGCGCTTCCTAGTATGTTCCCGTTGTATTCAGACTGAAAGAAAAATCGATTTCTTTCGTCATAATTGTCACAAATGAAATTGTATGTGTATATAAAATATATACATTATATAAGAATATATAGAGACCTTTATACTGAGTCTATCGGCAGGTGTCGACGGCGTGATGCTACGTCTAGGACTGTTATTCTGATCGTCTATCGATCGTCTATCACTGCTATTGTCGTCGTTTATCTGGCTCGGTGTCACGCCCATTTTTACCTCCGCAATCAAGCGCCTCGCTCTTTCCCGCAACTGCTGCTGTCTCTCGTCGTCATTTTGCACCTGAAACACGCGTTACATGCGTAATCTATCATCTCGTATACAGCTTGTGGGGTGAATACGATTCTCTAACGCTAACATAAATGAAATATATTGAACCTCGATGGGACTGATCGCGGTGGAAACGAACCCGGCTGGCTTCGTCTGGCTTCTGGCTTGTTCTAGAAGTTGTCTCGCTCGTTCTCGCAATTCGTCGTGTCGGCTAACCAACGACTAATGCAAACAGAAAACAACGATGTAAATATATGATATTGCATTAATAAAGAGGAGATATTAATTGTATTGATAACTTGAAAGTCACAGCGTCATTTTATGTCTTCGTTATATTATTTCGACATATAAGTATTGATATTTTGCAACATTAGAAAAAGAATTTGTTAATTACGTGTTGCGAACGCTGTTCCCCATACGGTGGCGATGCACTCTGACACTCGAAATTACTTCGACTTCCTCTATCGCCAGAATTCACCAAGTCCTGTAAAATATTTCTTTTTAACACTCGTTTCTCACCAATATTGGTTGTATTGCGAAGTATCGTTACACGTATCGTGTTATGAAGCTTTCCCACTGACATAACATCCATATAACAAATTTTCTTATAATTAGTGAAAGAGCAAAAACACTCAATTGAAGCGACAATCTTTCGAATCATGTGAGAGAAAATTGCGTGAGACTCGCGGCATCTGTTATTCATATATTTCATAAAACTTTTTTTTTAGCGTTTATTAAATTCTCGTATTATTTCCTATATATATTATATTAGGAGGGTAAGTTTAACACATTAATAATGTGTTAATATTCGCATGGACAGAACTTGGTTTTCCTTTTCTGTCTGTGCAAATGTACGCATGCACGCACGCACAATATATCCCTAAAAGACAGAATCTAGCCGCTGCAACAGTTTGGTGATAAAATGACGCGTCGCGGAACATCTGTTGAATAAAAAAATTATCTTCATAGTAAGCAAAACTGTTATATCGTTTCTTGCAGTATTAAATTAATCTATAGTAAATTACAAATCACATACTTATATTTCATATTTGTGACAGGAATAAACCGATCAAAATTAGAATCCTAAACTAAGCAGGTAGTTGACTAATTATAGAAATTAGAAATAATTAAAATACAAATATAAATAGGCAGGTGCCAAAATGATTGACATCTATAATTATAATTATTCTGTCAATTATATTACTATTCCTGATTAAAATTTGTCCCATTTTTATATTATTTTTTATTGGTTCCGCCATTTTAATTTAGAAAAATTTAATCTCTTCTGATTAACTGAACTGGCCGCACTAGTTCAAGAAATTGACACACACTAAAGCATGAGAATTACGTACGTACGCTTCATATGTCTCAATGTAAATGTAAATTTTTTCAACTAGTGCAGCTGAAAGGAACAGATTAATCGACCGAGAGCTAATACAAACACGAACGGTCAGTGGCTAAATTCTATCTTCTTGAAACTCTAACATACATAATAGCTGACATCTATATTGTTACAATTTACATGTGCAGCTTATTTACGAAACTCTACTGTACAGATCTACATTCTGTGCATCGCAGAACATATCACGCATGATTCTTTCATGCATATTTACATGCAGCTTCACGCGTATATCATATATATATGATTTTTTGTCGGCAAAAAGCGCAGGTTACAAAATCGCTCGCCAATAATAGATAAAAAGTAAAAAAAAAAAGATTAATCTTGGAAATAACGCACTTCACTATGTATAGTGACTATTAGTTGGCAAAAAAAGAGAAGTAAATGGAAGAAGATGTAATAATGTGCGCGTTATGGGTTTATTGTTAATGCAGCGAGATATAAAAGGAATGCACAAAAAAGCGATAGTCTGCGCAATCTCGTATTTACTGACGTCACGGACCGGACTTTGTGATTTGGTAAACGAGATCGATTGCGAGCATTTCTCGTCGATTATCTGTATATTCTCCTCTTCATCGTCGGAGCCGAACGGATCGGTTAATTGCCGGCGGGTCATAAGTATCGGACGTTGCTGCGCTTGTTGCACTCTCGGCGGAGACTTGCTCTGCGGTAAATTGGTATATCATTTCATCTCACGAACGAGAAAAAAGTTGCACGCGAGTAGTAGTTGCCGTCGAGCGCAACATCTTGCTAAGCGTCGTCGGGGAGTAATCGAATCAAATCACGATCTAAATTAGAAATTCGTGCGCGATAATCCGTAGTCTTCCACGTACCTTCTCTCTCGACGAGTATTTCTCCTTGGTCGGCGACAAGACTTTGCCCAAAATGCTCTTCGAGCTCGCCAGTATGATATCCTTGACTTCCTTCACGCTGGACGGCGATTTATCTTTATTGCACTGATCGTGATCTTGATTGTCCGTATTCAGGCTCAAGTGCAGTTTGTTCTTCAACGAATCGATGCATATGTCGTCCTTCTTGTTGTCAAATGGATTCGATCTACAACAACGTGATATACGATCACAAATCCGTGGATCTTGTTCAAGCTTGTTTCGCGCTGGAAATGTACTTTAATCCTGACCCGGATTGTGCGAGATTACATCTACTTACCGTCGGTTACAGTCCGTCTTATTGTTCTTCTGCTCAATCTGCTCCTTCTTTCGTAAATTAATGATCTCCTGACCGAACAGCTGAACGCTCACGTCCGTGTTGTTGTCCGTATTAAATCTACCGATCATATAAGACGACTCGTTCGTCGTTTTACCGATTTGGTGTACCTACGGTGATTGATTCGAAATGATGATATCAAATTGCGAGTAGAGTGTAATAAAAGGAGAGAAGAAAAAGATACCTCCAATTCGTGCCCGGTAAAATGCGCTCTCAACTGATACAAATACGTCATCACAGCTAATTTATCAGGTACAGTTAATATATCCATGTCCGCTGGTTCTATGACTCTAGGTATGCCCAAAGCTTCGCCAGCGTCGAAAGCCTTTTTGCAGTTACCTTTTACATCGTGCGGCAACAATGAGTCGATGTCTCTGTAAATCGTCATTTTCAACCGTTTAGATTGAGAAAGTCGCGCAACTGAATTTTATATCTCGATTCTCAAGCGACACGTGAAATAGCATCAAAAACAATCTTCGAAATGTTAGCGCGAGACAATCGGAACAATGACGATCTTGGAATGTTTATTAATGGAACACACAAATAATATAACCGCCGAGGAATTGTTGATTGACGTTTTTTTTGCTGAGAAAAAGATATTCGGAAAGATACGATATTCGACGATCGAGAAAAGAAAAAAACAAAAAAAGAGAAATACTCACATCAGATCAGGTCTGAAATGGTGTATGATCGCGCAAAACGCCATTCCGTTTCGCCAGGATGTTGTTAGATTAGTGACTTTGACGCCCGGATAATCTTTAGTGACTTCCTTACACCATTCCAACAAGTCTTGCCCGGGAGTGTTTTCCTTCAACCTCGGCACATTCACGTCATTCTTTTTAAGGTCCAATGGTTGCAATGGCAGTCTCAATGTACTATGTTCTATGTTTTTACTATTAAAAGATCGAACCTTTCAAAATCACTCCTTTCATATTATTGTATTAAAACTTGTGCTACTTCAAACGATCTAATGATACGTACTCGTTCTCAACAGCAACACTGTCTTTGACAGGTGACTTTTCTCGCGAAGGATCTGCAATTCCTGTTATACTAATATCGCGTATAAGGTGCTTCCCATCGTTTACAGGAGTCGTATCATCCTTTGACAGGCTTGCCACTGTTACAAACGATAATTATTGCAATCATTAATAAGCAGGAAAGACTTCGCAAGTTATAAGTGATATAAAATCTTGACGCAATGTGTTTTATAGAATCATCAAAAATTTGCACTCGTATGTTTAATTAATACATTCATAGACAATTTTGCATGAATAATATGTGCGAGGATCAGCAATTACCGCTTATAGGAGTGCTGGGTAATTCACTTTCAGTGAGGCTATTTGTCATTAAATCGAGTTGTGCAGAGATATCTAATATCTCATCTAGATTTTTCACAGATATCTCCTCGACATCTTCGGGTATATCCTCATTATCGAAATCATCTAATGGCGCAATGTCACTGTTATTGTTAACCGACATTAAACTCGCCATACTTTGCATGTCTTCGTCCCTAGCAAATTAAAAATAATTACAACCTTGTCAACTTTTGTACAACTAATCCGCACAAACAACACATTGAATAACATGTGTCTTGTCAGAAATTTATGCAATTTCACCTGTTATACTGATATTTAATTGATGAGATACGTCTATTTGGTAAGTTGGTATTCAGATAGAACAAAAAGAGAAAGTAAAAGTATGTGCCTGAGACATGCTTGATGATTTTGCATGATAAACAATAAAATATTTAGGAAACACGATTCCCGTGCAAAGGGTTGATTGTGAAATATATTGGAGAAAATTGAATCACAAGCTTACGTCGCCTTGCCCTCTCGCAGAAACACACATGATAAAGTACATTCCAATGTAGCACTGACGATTTTTTTAGAAGTAGGTTTCAAATCTAGTTTGAGTTGCTGCTGACTAGACTCCAAAGTTGCGTATTTTTTCATATTTATATTTGTAGCAGCAACATGACGTCTCTTTCCCGTTGATGACACCTGTTCTCAATAACAGAACGATGTATACTTATTGTTAAAATATGTTTTCCTCTAAGCGTAGTTGCGACTGTTATTTCTTACATCCTCGATAACAAATGTCCAATCTTTGTCTTCTAATTCGTGCGTTCGTGGGTCTTTAAACAATGTCACGGAAACTGTATGATTGTCAGGAACTGCCCAGCTAATGACACCTTTCAACGGATCGCTCAGACTTGGCTCCCAGTCTAAGGGTTCCGAGTTAACTCTTCTGCTGCGTCTTGTCCAAACGACGCTCAGTTTGTTCGGTTTCCTATAGTGGTACATTAGTGTTTCTACAATTTCTGTAGCTGATGAGGAAGCGTTATTGCTTTAATATTTCAACAGAGCATCACATAAAACATCCTGCTTATTAGTAATTTGGTCGAATTCTCAATTTATTTGTATTCTTATATAGCATTAGTGTTTCTGCAACTTCTGCAGCTAATAAGGAACCATTATTGTTTCGTTATTTCTAACACAGCATAACATCAAAACCAAAGCAATTACCTCGAATTATTCAATTAAAATGATCATTTGTTCGAAGCGCAGCTTCGCAAGTAAATTAGAATCTTGTTCAAATAATATTTTGCCATCGTGTATTTTCGTTATTAACGCAACTTGTCCTGCAATTGAGAGAGAAAGAACGAACGTGTCGCTCACCATTTCGTTGTCGTCTCGAGCGTGACCTCGTGATAGGATACGGTAAATTGAAACTTCGCGGCACGCTTGTTCACCCGCTGCAAACGTTTCCAAACGGAGCTCATGTTTACCCGCTTCGTTCCTCAGCGGACTCGGTTGTCGATTCGTCGGTCGCTACTTGCGAAGAGATCCCACTACGACGAGCACGATGTGAACGAGACGTTGCGCCTCATCGCCGCGGGGATGATTCACGTGATATCGTTCGGATCCGTCAAGTCGACGCGAATCAAATCGGCGGCCGATACTCATCCGCGGCCGTTTGACATTTGGCCTGGCACGCTCCCGTTGCCCTGAATGCGATCATATGTGTTCAATGGATGGTAACACCGTGTCGGTAATTCCTCATTCGCGCGATCCGATGTGAATAATTCTCATTCTTGCAGCGTCGAAAACGTCAGAGCAGAGAACGCGTTTACACACGTACAATGTCGCGCTCGAGGACGATCGCTCCCGCCGCCTATCACCCTGTCCACTTATGACGAAATCAGACGAAATTGTTCTTCGTCTCGAAAGAGACCAGTGACATCAGATGGTGGGACATCTCGCGCAGGCGTACGACTAGGAGGGGGAAGTGTTATGCGGTCCTTGGCTACATATGACATTCGATAACAAATACGTAAAAAGTTGAAAGTTTTCTCTTTAGAATACCTGTGTCACATCGAATCAAATAATATTTCGCTCTGAAAACTTAACTGAAGGACGAAATTTGAAATTGAACGGTCGCCATTTTCCGTTTAACTCGAAATATCTTGACGAAAATTAACGACAACATTAATATACCCAATGTAGTTAAAAGCTAGAGACTTCAAGCTTTGAAGTGCTTTCTGAACGATCTCGACAGCATCATTATTGCGAAAGTTACAGCCTGTTGAATTTCGCCTGTTTTATTACAATGAAAAGTACGCCTGACCAGCCCTTGCGTCTACTTGAGAAATAGAAAGTACGTCTGACGCCATCGTTTAGTCATATCACAACCTCAGTTTCTCGTTATGTACAGTGGCGACTCGTAGCGGAGATTCTGGAACCAAATTACAGAATAACGGGTTTATGGAATTATTAGACCTGTTATTTCTGTAATTTGGTTCCAGAATCTCCGCTACGCGTCGCCACTATACTTAACGAGAAACTGAGGTGGTGATATGACTAAACGATGAAGTCAGGCGTACTTTCTATTTCTCACGTAATATGACTCAAGGGCTGGTTAGGCATACTTTTCATTGTAATAAAACAGACGAAATTCAACAGGTTGTAATTTTTGCAATAATGATTCTATCGAGATCGTTCAAGAAGCACGTTAAAGCTCCTCCCGTATTATTCTCTGTTCCTGTTGCCTGTGATTTGTTATTTTTATTATTTTAATCAATTAATTATATTTGTTAAAAAATCACAAAAATAAGGGCACTAAAGTAGTATAAATAAAGTGGTATGAATAAATAATCAATTGTGACGTGACAGCTTTAAGGACGCTCGTCACAAGAGGCCAATTGTCAGAAATTAAATAGGTTTGCACATGAGCAGGTAGTCGCTAAACAAGCTAGCAGACTTTTAGATACGCAACATCCTCTTCGGTAACGCTGATAATAAGCTACATTTTATGTGTAATATACGCACATGTACATCGTATGAATGTATGCATTCGCGCGGAAGCAATTACTGAGAAAACCGGGTCAAATGTTGGAGTCAAGTTGATAATGTTTAGCGGGGTTAAGTGCTGTCTTGACCTTTAACAAGTCTTTCTTAGTAAGATAGCAAGCCTCATACAGTATTAAACATTTTACATTTCATCAAATTGTTTAAACAATGTTAAAATATAAATAATCAAACAGGCTGGATTTCATTTCCAGTCGAATTTCAATTTTATAATTTTGTAATTTCGAAAAAAAAAATTTCGTCTAAAAAATATAACTCACAGCTATTTCTCTCTTTCTCTCTCTCTCTCTCTCTCTCGCTTGTCCAGGATTTCCGATATCTTCAATCAACTTCAACATCCGAATTTTCAACCCTCCCGAGCACGGGCGTAATACTATCTTCCCTTCTCTCTTCGAATTGTCGTCTCAACAATTCAGGGGGAGAGCGCGCGAACCACTCTTGATGCTCGTGTTCTTCCGATCCTCGTGTTCCATTACTGATCCCCTGTTTCACCCTGAGCTGCTGTTACAGGTTACCAAGCTTGATCTGAAGAAGAACTCGATCCAACATCTTACAGAAGAAAAGGTCGACATCCATCTTCCGCTTTTTAGGTTTTTGGATCTCCGGTTTCAATCTTCGGACAAGGGAAGGAAGGAAGTCCCGGCGAAATTTCCAAATAACAGCTTATTTCCGAAAAAAATGAAACTAAAGGGCGTTTCTGGACAAAATCAGGATTTTCATTTCCAAATTAAATTAGCCGAGTACGGGATCTCAACCACTTAAGCTCTTTTAAACAAAATTTCCCTGCATCTTAATAAATCAAATTCGCGGGTCCGAGGTTTTAATCGTCCAACCTGTTAAAAAGTCTTTTCTCTTAATTCCGAAATTTCTAAATTTTGAACGCAGACCCTCCTTCTGCGCGAATCTATCCTCGGATTTACCTCTTTTCTTCCTTTTCCCTGTATTTGCCACCCAACTCAGCACACGCGTCCGCTCGGCTTTCGGGCCAGACTCAGGAATATTTAAATATCTCTGGGACGTTCCTAGAATGTTTTCGAATGTTTATGCTATATGGGACCGATGAGGAATATTTTCGACTCTTTTCTTGTTAGATTCGATGCATGCGAAATTTATATACACTCATTAAACGGAGAAGGAACAATATGCGGTAAAAGAGACAGAGAGGGAGGAGGAGAAGGGGGAGGGGGGGGGGAGAAACGTACTCCTAGTAAAAAGGGTGTTGGTTCTTCAGTGTTACACTGGACACGATCGACATCGCAGCTTTCGAACGATTTTACGTATCACTTGATATCACCCAATTACTTAACATTATTAGTTTTGAAAACGTAATTGTCGAGACAAATTGTCATTTCTTACATAGTGCAACTAACTTTTATTGGCTTTAAACGGTCATATCTAGTATTCAGAATGATTTACAGTGAACGCGCAGTGATAATAATCTTTGGTGTAATCCTTCTTGTAACATCAGGTGAGATTATCAGTTCTTCAAAAGAAAGTAGATCAAGTGTTTATGAGGAAGAGTTAAAAAAATTATATTTATATGTTTTAAGACAAAAATATATCTCGCAAAATTATTTAAATTCTCGTTTATGTCTCAAATAATCGTGTATGCCTTCTATATAAGATTATCCTATTCTCTATTTTTTTTTGCATACTAAAATACTAAAAATACTTAAAGCTCTTTTCTTTTTTCCTTCGTACATAAATTATGTATATCGTTAAATTCTTTGTTTACCAGTTTATTCTTTTTTCATATATCACACACAATGACCACTGTATGAAAAATGCTGAACTATTCAGCCGGGAAAATTTGAATGATGAGAAACGGCCGTTTTTCGCCAAATTTCATCTGCTACAATCTAATAGCAAAATGCCATTCTATTGTTTAATTTCGCGTGTAATTCGAAACGTGTACAGCGGAACAAAATGTTAAAAATTAACAAAATACAATACAAGTGTACCTATATTCGTGTGATAACACGCTCGAGTTTAAGAGGAATGAGAAAGTATTTGTAATTAAATGTTAAAATGTACCTTGGAAATGTTTCGAAATGCTCGAAAGTAAAAATGCGTTCTAACAAATATTGGCATATTAGCATCACTTTGCGACGATGAGCTACCAAACAAGTGATTTCATAAGCAATCGCTAAAATTCTTCATGTAATAGCGATGATATTAAGGGAGGCCATGATACCTAAAACATATGCATAACACCACCTTCTCCTCTAACATTTCTCAAGAACATGTCTTTACCTTAAAATCTCCAAAAGTTTTTACAATATTTTGTGACTATTTCACATATTCCTTGTTATAAATATGATATTACTACAATATGGTCTAATTCCAATACGAATATTTATTTAATTTATTTAATTATTATTAATAAATAAAACTGTGCTAAAACTGAAGCTCATATAATTTTAATTTAGCTCATAACTAATTAATATTAATTTATACACAGTTGAAGTTTCGGATATTTAAATATAGTTGTTATAATACTGCTAAATATAGTTGTTATAATACTGCTCATAAAAATATTGAGATATTCCACGTATCAAAATCTTTCTGAAATACGTTATAAGGAAAAGGAAGTATTTCCATATCTATATTTATATCATCTTTTTTGGCTCCTATAGTAAGTAAACTGCACTCTTCAATTTTTATTTACGTATTTATTCGAAGTGCGATATTTTTCACTGGAACGTTCTTCGTCTCATTTTCTTTTATTTACTGCGGAGTTACATAGTGTGTCACGCCTCATTCTAATTCCACGATGATTACAATCCGATGGGTGTGCGCACGAGAATGAGCGTGCGCTATTAATATGATCGGTTATTCAATCTCGTCACTTTTTAATCAAAAACCGCGTTTTTTATTAGTAACCGAAAAGTACATACGGTATTACGCAAATATTTTCCGTGACTTTGGTTTTTATCTCATTTTATCTCATATTCTATACGTAATTAAAAAAGGAGTGGCTCCGTGTAGAAAAACATTCGTAACTATCTTGACGTAAACATGATCCACAATTTATGCAATATGTGTAATATTGCATAAATTATGGAACTTCTTACTTTACAAGCGTACGATAATCTGTGATAGTGTCCGATTTTGTAAAAAAAAAAGAGTAATAAAAAAATATGATGAAATTTCTTATATTTCTCAAGGGTCTGCTTTACGATGTTGGGTTTGCGCCTCCAACGTAAACGTCATGTGTAAGGATCCAATGAATACTACGGACCATCAAGCTACATTTCACACTAGAACGTGCGATAGTGGTAATTACGGCTCTGCCAAACCTATTTGCCGCAAGATTGTCAAAAGAGGTAAAATTCTTTTACATATTACATATCGCAAAAAAATATATACACTTGATTTTAATACGGATTATACATTTTTCTCTCGATGCAATTCGGAACTCAGACAAATGTTCAATAGGAGAACCTAGTTTTTTTTAATAATTCCCAGAAATTAACAATAAAATAAATTTGAGTTTTATCATTGGATGTTGGCCGCATTCCAAATTATATCTAGAAAAAAGTGACTAAATATTGAAATCAAGTACACATGCGGTAGAAAAATACTCTCGTAACGATAGAAAAATCCTGTTGTGTAAATGTGAGATTCCATGCATACATTTCCAAGTTGGTTTCAAGTGTAACTCGTTTCTTAGAGGATGACGCATTACGAAGCTTAAGTCGCACTTTTACTGCGTTTTATTCTCTGTTTCAAATGTGCCAACGCATACGATAAAATTACGGTTCCGCTCTTGAGTCATATCGCGTGTATGTAAATGACGATAATTGTATATTAAGAAAGATTGATATAAGTGATGGTAATTGGGTGTTGAAAAAGGTCGGAACCACACCCGCAACAGGGATAAATTACTTTATTACAAACGTTATTGATTTTGTACGGAGTAATATATCGATGACGTGATTGACGTAGTTAGTATACATTACAAAAAAAGTGCTAGAACAATAATAGGAAAAATTACGTTGTCGTCAAAATGTCGCGAATACAACAAACAATTACAATGTTTATAAATAATAAGTTGCGTAACATTTTTAGAATACGGTGAGCGAGTTATATTACGTCAATGTTCCACTCCGAACCACGACGAAGTTAATATAGATGATGGTCCATGCAGTTCTACGTCGCAACCAGGAAACGACGCAATCGAGTCCTGCCATATTTGCAGCAGCGATTTATGTAACTCCGCAACCAGCGTACCTATAATGGGAATACTTTATGCCAGTATGGCATTATTTACCTACAATTTCTGTTAGTCAAAATATTATACTTTTTAACCTTATAAGTTGTAGTATAGTACGTAACTATGATTTTTTGCGAATAACAACAAATGAACGAAAGTAAAAAAAATATTCATGAAAACGTAGCGAATGCTTAATGCTATTTATGTATGACTAACAAATTATTATTTTTCATTTAAAGTCAGTTCTGGTTCATGAAGACGTATAAATATATGAAAATAATTTCGCATACTGTTTTTGTTTTGTGGATAGTTAAAACAATGTTACGTAAAAAGTGCAACTAAAACAAATTTGTGTTTCACACATCCAGACTGTGACAATCTAATTGTTATGAAACAAAATTATAAATAATAAGTGCGCAGATTATAAGTGATATTGATTTATTAGTTAGTATAAGTACAAAATAAAGAACGTAACATAATTTCGTGTAAAATTGTTTTCTCAACAAACATTTTAAAAGCTCGTATAACAATTTCGCATACAATTTAAATTATTTTTATTGTCTACATGCGATAAAGTCAGCTTCTTATCTTCGTTTCTTTGACCTTATATTTAGCAAACTATGGCTTATAATTATTACTTAATGTACAGTGTATTCAGCGTCTGTTGTAACTGGTGTCAGAAGAAAAAAGTAATGCAACACATTTTATTTTTTATAATCATTTATTCAAAATATATTTACGAACTTCTATCTATGCGCCAGAGCATTAACCCGAAGTCCTTATCTCTTGCTGAACAACACATACACACATAGCAGAAAAGATTTAGAGTCGTAAAATCCTTTTCTTTGAAAAAGACTGGCATTTCAGTGTTAGCTGGTGCGGTGGCCTGTCAACTTTAAAGACTCATAACTTATGCAATTCTTACTTACAATCCAAATTGGATTATAAGTAATGTTTTGAAATAAAAATTGTTTCGCTTCCAGAATATATAATAAAAAATGGGGATATACATTTAAGATTTCAAAGTTGACCTTCACGGTGTCTTTCGGGGTTACACGAAGGTTATATCAATATAACCATATAATAGACCATTTCCTAAAACTTTTGTATTTAACATTTTCTGTTAGTCATTATTTTCAGAGATATTTGACGGAACTTTTTGTCATCACTGTATGTGTACATATAAACACATATGAGGTTGCAATAATAATATTAAATCTTATATTTGTGCAATTAAAAGTCATGTTTGTACAATTTCATGTGTTTAGATATATATGAGAATATCATGTGAAACAGATATATTATTGAAATAGTCTAAATCTTTATTGGTCATTTTTAGATTTTCAAAAAATCTGGAACATCGTCTAAAATAACAAATTTTTAACATTAATAAGAAGAAAGTTATATTTTTATGTATGATGTTACGTTTAACATATATATTTTTATTTACATATAAATACTACTTTTATGTTATATAGATATAAAACATTTTTATAATGTAATATAAAATATATAACTAATATAATTTCTACTACATACAGCATATTTTGTGTGTACTTTATGTTTTTCCTTCCTTATAAATTTATGATCGCAATTAAGCATTGTTTTAATGGTAAAACAGGAATGAAAAGTACGATGATAACTTAGATAGATGGTCGTGTTTGGTATTGTATTTTATTGGACACCGAAAACATTGCGAAACTTATCGGAAAAGAAATGCCGCAACTTTCATATTATGTCGACTATACACGACTTGTCACGCCGCATTACTTCCTACCACTCGTCGGAGGGAATTAATTAGTAGCGGCCGAGGACTGGCATCTGCAAACGCAACAAGAAGGAAAGAGGAACCAATCCATGAATATACCTTTACAATCATTATCTGGATCGTACGCAAGCAATCTGTGCCACTTGTATTTCTGCTCGCATCCACAGTCCATTCTGCAACGGTTTGTTTGTGTATTTCTGTGAAAAATATGACCTATGAAACATATATATATATATTGCAAATCTTTATAATAATCTATTAAATATATTTTTTTATCGCGCTCAAGACAAACGTTGGAATAGCGCAAAAGGGAGAAGTCATTGTGAACGTTTACTCACGAGTATTGAACTATGTACATACTGGAAGGTGCACGCCTTTGTCTCCGAGCGAAATTATGTTCGAAGAAGAGCTACGTGAGAGAGATATGAATGAATAAGTATCATAAACCGGTATTCATAGTCAGATCTTATATTTAAGATCGTCTTAAGTTTATTTTCAGATGTTTCATAGCTAATAAAATGAACCATACAGCATCTGAAAATGAATTTAAAACGGTCTTACATATAAGATCCGACTATGAATACCGGCCTTAGTTAGGTCTTATATTTAAAACAGTCTTGATCTTCATCTTAAGGTGCTTCGTAGTCAATTGAATGAGCCGTACAGCATCCGAAGATGAACTTGAGACGGCCTTATATTTAGGATCCGACTATGAATACCAACCATAGACCGGCCGAGCATTAAAATTATTTCACATGAAAAAGTCATCATATTATATATAATTTTATTGTATATTATTCTGTTTTATTATGTGTTAATACTATATTTTATTAAATTATATCATATTAAATTTTTTATATTATATTAAAATTAGCTTTAAAAACATGTAAAGTACAAAAGAGATCTTAATTATTGATTTATAAAAATATAGTAGTCGGCAATTTGGATCGTTGAGGATCTAAACGCGTGTTCCAATTATTCATATTGGAAGACAAACAATTGGATATTAATATCTTCACACACATACATATCATCCCGTTATAACTAAATTTGTTTAGGAGAAGATGCCGAATCCCGCTGTTTATCATTTATTTTAGAATTTACAATCAAAGATTGGACGAACTCAAGACCAAAATTGCCGACGGAGGGTTCTTATGATAAGTCTATGACAAGTACCGAGTTATCCTCGTCTAAGTACATATCATGCGATCACATGGTTCTGTGTACTACTCATTCTGATAATATTGACCTCTCAACCATTATCTGCAACACAGAAATCTTATTTCTTCAAAGGATGATAGAATGGTGCTTTCAGCACGAAAGCATCCGAAATAATTTAACTTATACCGGCTTTTATACTACACTGCAGATTTAAATATGCCCATGTTAGGAAACGAATGTTTTCAGCCATGATAATTTGACCTCTGAAAAGAGACAACATGGTACGAATTCAACTATCTCTGTCTAAATCGGCCACCACTCCGTGGTGGAGATACGTCCGTGCGCCTTTCAGCATGTATATAGACTTCAGTCGCTTGCAAATTCCACACATAATAATAGTTTCACTCACGTGCAGACTTCCTGATGTATAGCTTGCTCAAAATGTTGAGTATTCACAATGGCATGAACCTTTCCAGCGCTGTTATTCGCCCAAAAGGGGGTCACAATATCAATTTTAGACTCGCACGCGTCAATTCTGAAAAGTATTTTTTTCTCATAAGATATATATATATAATGCATCCAATTAAGTTATCACATGCATTTTATGTGTCAAAGGGATAATGCATTCATTTTTCTTTCACGGTGGCGAGGTCATATGAGAGATGATACACACGTTCCTTTGTGATAGTAAAATCGTACTACTAGTAGAACGGGTTTGAAAAGGGAGGAAAAGGTGGAAGCTACTAGAGAAACATCCTCAAAAGGGAATTTGCAAAATCGAGGCTCCAGCCTTGATTAAAGAGGAAATGGATAATATCGTGTTCGAAGAGATGAGGAAGAGAGATAAGTATTTCGTAGTGGGTCAGAATGTCTGCGGATCTGGCTTGTCCGCCATGAGGTACAGCGATTTCGATGATTTTGAACGAAAAAGAGAGGAAGGAATGGAGTGGGAATCAGCGCAAGAGGTTTTACAAATGATAACCAACAGTGGCAATCAACAGGTTTGGAAGGCCGACATTGGTTTGTCTGCTTCTCGTATTAATGCCGAGTATATAACATTCGCGAGCGAAGCTCGATCATTCTATTATTTCGAATTATTTTGTCGAGTAAGCAATCAATTAATTACTAAATAATTAAGTAATTAATTTAACTATCTAACCCGATATTTTTCAATTCTCACCTGCCATCATCTGAGTCCAGTTTTTCAGGAACCTGTCTTGTTTTTCTACTCTTACTAACATATTTCTCGTCAATTTTGCTTTCCACTTGTAACTCGTCATTTTGATCTCTGGGCCCGCCGTCCGGAATATCGTGCTTCCGCATTTCTTCACTTTTTCTTCGTGTTCTAGTGCGATGTCCAGGTTTGCTCGTACTCGATCCATATCCCGGATTTATCTCAAAGTTGCCATACATCCTTTTCATCAATGCCTTATTTTCATCGATGAAACGCTCTATTCGTTCTCTACAACAATCGATCGAATTAAATTCTAATCCAATTATGCTGCGTTATCCTTTAGAAAAATTTAACACTGAGAATTATTAGAGAATTTATAATGATTAAATACTGGCAATATTTCAGTAATTACGAATTATTGACAACAATATTTTAACTATTTAAAATAAGTAATTAGGAGTAATAAATTTCTATAAGGGACCTAAAACATTTCATTTTTCTCTCGCAGGCACGCATGCAATTTCTACCTAGTACAGCCATTTTTCATAATTAATAATATTTCCGTAATTAATAATTAAGTAAATATAAGCAAATCTTTAGTTTATCCAATAATACTTTATTGTTTTACAAAGTAACGAATAAAATAATTTATACTTACATCGGATATGTATTTCCCGCAGTTGGACAAAATAATTGATGATATCTTTTGATACATGGTGTACCTCGTATTAAGTCACCCTTCAGTTCGATACCTAATGCTACCGAAAGCGCAGTCCAAAGTATCTACGAATCAATGTGTTCATCATTAAAACGTGGTAGTTGTAAAAACGATTGATTTCGAGTAGCCATGAAAACAACTGATTTTGAGTAGCTCTCTAATTACTAAAATATTTACATTGCTCGTTTTATTTTGAAAGGTAGATTCTCCTCCGATTTTGTCTTAGGTGGTCGGACCCTTCTACTTTACGAGATATTTCACATTTTATATTAAAAAGTACCATGGCAAATTTTAAAATATCTCAGAAAATTTTTAGTCAAAACAAGTTTTATTATAGTATTCTGAAAACGTCTCAATATATAAGAATATGCAATAAAAAATAGGCAGTCACGTTTAAAAAATTTAACTTGACCTTGTCCTGACCTCGGCGACGCCATCCAAGGTCAAACTGATAAGATCAGTAAATAGATCTTTTTAAACTCTACAACCTTTACCTGAAATATTTTTTCTGTAAAACTTACATTTTTCAAGATATTTTTGTGATTTCCATACTTTTTCCTGATATGATTATACGTGTATATATATTTTATATGATTATACGTGTATATATATATATATATATATATATATAATACAAACGTAATAAAGTATATAGCTGTGTTATGTAACGTAGTAGTTCATTTACGAAGCGAAAGTCGATATTGTTTAATTAAAAACCGCCTTCCTACACTCGTATTTCCGTTCAATTTCCAGTTAGCATTCAGTAGGCGTCATTCAATAACGTACGTAATATGAGAGAATCCCGATGGTAATTGCGCCGAGGTGTGTATTGCCCACAAGAAGTGAATCACTCCGTATAGTCTAAGCACACGAATTATAAAGAGACAAACATGAAATGTACGTAGAAGACATTCATTGAATAACTTCGCTGTTATTTCCAGGTGTTTTACGAAAAATAAAAGAAAAGCAAGTAATAGCGAATGAAGAATGTTAAAAAGACACTTCTCAAATATCATAATACAGAAAAGAGAAAAAGAAAATGTTCTAGGGTCCTTCACGGTGTCCCTCAAGGTCACATGAAAGTCATATCAATATAATTACCGTGTAATAGACCAATTCATTTCCTAAAATTTGTGTATTTAACATTTGAAGGTGAAACGATTTAATTAAACGTATCTCTCTCTTATACGCGTTTTAGTGGAAAAATTATCATTGCTTCGGATATAACGATGATATAATTAGTTTTGAAGTTGTTATCTCGATATTGTTATAATGATTGACCTGAAAAGTAATGTCGTTTACTTCTATTTTGCCCGTTTTGTGCTCTGCACTGAAAGAGCGAGACAGCAAGGTACATTTAAAAGACGCGTTGAACCAAGATGGGAATAATGCGAGAAGTAAAAGGGACGCGAGATGTTGGAACAGGTGTAACCAGCGTTTGCAACTACCTGATGATACATTCGCGGTGGTAGATTCTAGCGAAGATATTCTCGGGGTCACGGGTGCTGCGCGGGAAATGTCACGCGTTGCTATAGACTTTGAAAGTTTCTGTAACCATGGTCATATTTGTCAATTATCTCTAGCACTATCCTCGAATTCGCGCTATCAATAGGAGCTTCTCTCTCACACTCTCTCACACTCGGCTTTGACATTCTACGCATTCATCTATTTTTACACATGTTATTATCGTATTCAAAGAGTAGATAAAGAAGAAAGAATGAAAACTAAATGCTCAACTCACCGGTATTTGTACGAATGTGCCGTTATTTAGCTGGGGATACGAGTACAACGGTACAACAGGAACAGAACCATTTTTGAGGAAAATTGGACCTTGAATGGGTGTAACATGCGCGTTTACCGGTATATCCTGATCCTCATCGTCGTAATAATCGTCAAAATCATCGTCATAATCCAACACAGCGTGGACCGAAGTTTTAGTACCTGGACCAATGGAGCTCCCGCCGTTAATTCTCGTGTAACTTCGAACAAATTAAAAAAAAGTACAGAAAGATATATTCGCATACAATCATCATTTCTCGCACAAGTTTCGTGTATTAATTCATCATTGATACGAGTACATGATAAAGTTAACGTCAATGTCAGATTTTACCAATGATAAAATTTCAACACTCAAGACCTTTATTACGAGCATTTATAAATAACTGCATTGTAAGTAAAAGAGAGAGGGAAAGAAAAAGTATATGTGCGCGTGCGTGTGTGGGTTTACCCATTAGGTCTCTCCGGATAATTTTCTTGATCTTGTGCCCGAGTTTTGACCGGTTCCGACGAATGACTCGACTGTTGTTGGAACAACGAGGGAGGTGGTCTCATTTGTTGATGTTGTTGTTGTTGCTGTCTCGGCTGTGTCCTCTTAAAGTCTTGATTATAAACGGCATAACGAGTATCTTGCGTCGGCGAAGAAGACGAGTGCTTCGCATAAATCTCTCGATTCTTTTGTTGAGTGGACTGACGTCGTTGCTGACGCTGACGATGCTTGGTTGGAGACACGTAAGGTTCGTTGTGAAAATCTTCTTGTTCATTAAAAGTCGGCACAGCTCCCGAGAAAGCGTTCAAACGGAGATTGTTAGCCGCCGTATGCCCAGCTCCCGATCCAGTGTAAAGGAACGGAGCCATTGTCGCCGATTGATAGGGCAAAGTGAAATTCACTAACGACATTTCGGACTAATTATAGTTGCATTAATAAGTTAAATCTATCTATTCGATCCTTTTTTTTTATGAGAATAACGAAAGACTGTATCAATTTTGGTGATTGTTAACTCGATACGGCGTTTGCGTCGCAGAAATCATAGTCGAATCATTAGCGATCTTCGAATTACAACTTGCAAAGATCACATTATCTCACGAAGGGACACCGAGATTGCACCGAGCAGAAACACTCCCTCCCCTCCCCTCTCATCGCTATCATATTGAGCGGTTAGGCCTAATTATTTGCCGTCTCGGGGAATTATTTTACAAGTAGCGCAGCTCAGCGCACGCTTGTGCTTCCTCCTCTTCAAGATTGTCGACGGTTACACGGTTAAACCGCGGTAACCGCAAGCGATCGCCTAACCTTTTTCACTCACGTTTTCGTCTCGTTGCGACGAAATTAAAACTGAAACAGGAGAAAAATCCACAGCAATCGTTAATGACCGAAGATCAAGATTAGTGATTTCGGACAGCCGAAGTATTTCGGGTATATTATCGGGATACCCGGATCTTTCAAGTATTACTCAAGTATTCCCGAGTATACGGTTAATATCAGATGTTACTCGATCATTGAATTATCTAACGATAACATATAAACGAACGAATGCTTGGCAGACTCGTAAGTATCTGATTGCCCGGGTAATACTCGCGAGCACGGATACCCAAGTATATAAATGTGCGGATTATATTGACAGCACTAATCAAGTTTATCTTCAGATGTTCATTTTATTGGCTATGGAATATCTGAGGATAAACTTAAGACGGTCTTAAATATATAAGATCATGAATACCGGCCTAAGGAAACTGCATACATTTCTACCTATTCGTATTTTTATTCGTCGAGTCATCTGATCGTAAAAATACTCTGCGTTCTCGATCAAATAATGTCAAACATGCACGTTGATGTACGTGATCGATGCGTGAAAGGCGCGAGGATTTATGAACAGAATGAACAATTACTAACTAAAGTATTTCTATCTTACCTGATTATATTGAAGCGAGAAAAGATATTGAAACCATACGTACCGTTGACATTCGTTCGCGAACAAAATGATTACACGCGCGAACGAAGCGAGGATCGAATCGCGCCAAGCCAACCAAATTTCTTTGGAAAGTCGAACGAGTTTGACCCGTCACTTTCGCCCACTGGATTACTGTTTCCAAGTTGAATATGCAAAACGTGTTTTCACTAAAGGTAAAAGCAGAACCGTCTATTCTATTTGCCATCTTGTCGAAACACTCTCTATTTTTCACAAATGTACCTGAGATTACGTAAAACGAAAATTCCCACGATAATTTCGATATTTTGTCGAAAAAGTGCGCGAGCAGGACTCATTAGCACAATAACGCTAATTGTAGACCGAAGAACTCACGAGATATATGATAATCGTCCTGCGATTGTTTAATCAATCGCAAATCGAATTATGGTTCTGCTACGTAAATTACACGTGCATGGTTAAATGGTTTTTTATTTTACGTGACAGAAACAATTAGTCCTGCAGACAAATATTGTGAAAAAAATTACGATCTGACTCATTTTACGAACAATATATATATAAAATAAGTTTTAAACATATGTGATTCATACATATAAACGACGTAACATAATCTTACCTGATATCAATTTGCAATATTTGCTCGGACACCTTCACTGGCAGTAACTCGAACACAGAGACAAACGATATAGCGCGGAATATATGAAAAAGTTAGCTCAAGTCGTCGGACACTTTCACTTTCACTCAGTGATCCGAAGAATCGAATGTGTGCGATTCGGAATGTCGTAATTTGGATTATTATATATGAAAAATAATCGGTAAACGTTGCGAGAAAACACACAAAAGCGTACAAGGATTAATGCAGCGCGATAGTGCCGCACACATACCGTCGTTGGCGGACGACGACTAAAGGAGAAGGCTTTTAACCAGCTGTACGGAACGAGAATAAAGAGAAGTGTCTCTGGATCATGAGTAGCGCAGCCTGCTGCTTCTCTTACTTTTACGTCTATCCCTCCCCAGCTGTTCCGATACTCCCTACCTTCATCGTATTTTCGATTCTTCATTACAAGGGATTGTAATAATTATCGGTGTTCCTTATTTTCCATTTATGAAACAATCGTTTCTAGTGAAATTGAGATTTATCAGCTAAATTATTAATTATATTAATTTAGCTGATTTATTATTACGAGACAGATATTCTATTCAAGTTGATCGAATTGATCACAGTCACGTTGAAGAGTGAATAAAGTTAAGTTAGAAAATGAGGAAGGTTGGCTGAATTGAATACTGCTTCGTTATACTTATAAATTCAGAATTTCCATCATTGTGGATGCCACAATATATTAATTAATTAATTTAGAAAGATTGAGAATAAGCGCGAAAAGAAATATGTCGCTTCTGGAAATATATTCTGATATACAATATATAGCTAGGTATTGGCTTCGCGTGAACTGAAATGAAAGGAGGGAGTGTGTCACAGGACTCCAAGAAGGAAACGAGGAGAACGAGGAGAACGTTTTAGAGAGAGAGAGAGAGGTAAATAATTATATGAAGAGGAGGCGAAAAACGTACGACTTTTTATTCCTAATATGTTTATATTTAAATAGTTAAGAAACAAAAATCGCTCGATTATAAAATTGATGATTGCTCTCTCAAATTCAGATTAATATATTTGTCGCATATCNTATCTCTTTTTCCCCCCCCCCCCCCTTTCACGCGCTCTAAGATTCGATGAAGAGATTAAATTTAATTCGATGAAGAAATACAATGATGAAAATAAATAAATAATAAACGGGAAAAAAATAAATAAATGGGAGAAAAATCTGTCATTATCGAAAAACTTCGACGATAAGAAAGGAATAATTGTAAATTAACGTATAAACGTAAGATCCGAATATAAATACGATGCAAGTCTCACTTGCTTCCGGGGCAGACTCAACGTTTCTCAGTAAGGCAAGACCGCGTGCGTCATTCGACGCGATAAATGTAGATGAGTGTAGGAAATGTAGAAAAAGACGTAACACTATAAATCGGACTGCCTCTATTTAAAATTACACGACAAATGATCTTCTGTCAATTTGTCTCTATCATGTGCAATCGCGTGATAACTCTATTGTATCGGCACTCCTGTAAGAAACATTGCGACATTATTCGCGCTAAACGCAATAATAGCGTTGATATTGATGATAATGATATTCGAGAAATAATTTCTACCCTCTCACTTTTCCACTACATGTACAACTCAATTCGATTGAAATTCTATAAAAAGAACTCACCGGAAAATATCGTAGACGTGCAGAACGTGCAGCAACGTGAAAAGTAAATGTAGGATCATAAGTCGATGTTAACGACTAACATATATGTTGGCAAAGTTGAAAAAGAAAGAGCTGAGAAAGGAGAGAGGAGGGGATCGAATACCTGGCGTGCATAAACCCGTGATAGGTTTATCCGTTAGAGTTCATTGTTACACAATCAACAATGAACCACGTGCGAACCACGCTGGAAGGCGACACCTTTCCTTACCCTTGAGAGAAAGAAGCTTCCTGTTGGTGAACGAATAACGGCTCTCTTCTTGTGTATGTAATGTAGTTGGATGTAACGCAGTCGATTAATCCTGAATTCATACGTACACTCGTATGTTACTTCTATACTGATCCAACATTTCCGCTTGAATGTCAGACATATGAATCCAAGAGAATTCGTAAGCTGATTGAATTCTACAATAACACGCAAACTGTATAATAGAATAATTTCGATAATTTGGACCATTTCGATAATTTCAATAATTTTTTTAATAACGAAACTAGTTTCTTGCTCTCTTTATCTATAGGCTTGAACGAGACGACAAATTTAACGCTATACATATATGTCGTATCAGTTATACTTGTTATTTTACTTATATCCCGTAGAATTGAGTAAGAGGTACGCCGTGTACAATCGAAACCATTAGACGGGAAAAATAGCTCGAGCACGTGACACATACATTACACGAGCTCTCAAGTTTCGCAATTCGCGCGACAATCCCATGATTCATGCATGATTATGCACGCGTAACGGTCGCGATCGATTCGCTGTTATCGCGCGTACATATAGACCGCTTGTTCTCTCACTATTAACCAATACGACGAATCGTATTAGCTAAGATGTAAGTAAGTATAGTTGTCACGGACAATAGACTCTCGAACGATCTCTAAACGCGATTGTCCCGACGAAAAAGAGAACAATCGCGCGCGTCTTATTTCCGCCAAGGATTTTAAACCCAGTTAAGAAATAAAATGGAATTCGAAGGCGACGGGTCTCGTAAGGTGCCAACGCCCACATATTTGAAATGTCGTTCCAGCTATCGATCATAATACGCGTCAATGACATTTGCGCAATAGCGTTGCTGTGTTCCCTCTTACGTTCAATTTTAGACTGTTCTAGTTACGTTTCTTTTGTTTATCATTTTTCAACAGATCAGGAAATTTGTGCTTCAACGTCACGTCGTGTTCTTTTTGTCTCGCAGGTGTTTTGGCTAACTTCAGATTAATTATATAATGCTTATAATAATTGCAGCAAATACTTTTCTCTTTAAAGGAGCGTATTTTATTCTTTCAGTCGTGTCTCCATAAAACTATTGTTTTTAATTACAAAATGTTTACATTTTTAACGTATATGGTTATTGAATTTTCATATTTTTTATATATTTTCTTATCTAAAGTTAAATTACACACATACACAGATCGCAAACTCTTTATTCACAAAAATACAAATTGCCAAAGTAACCCTCAGTAGCTATGGTCGTCTAGTGTCAGGACTCTACGGTGTGGTCGTAATAACCCAGGTTTGAATCCTGGTCATGACAAGTGTCGAGGTAATATTGTCCCGGTGAAGGTATCTTTTTTGTTTTTTACATGTAAGTTATTAATTATACAATTATTTATAATTGCATAATTAAATTTATTTTCGTCTTGTTTTTATTTCAATTATCTTACGTAACTTTAATACTTCGTAGCCAATGAAATACATGAAATGTATGTAGAAAAGGATGTTTTGTGTCCTTGCGTTCTCTCTCGTTCGCGTATAGCACACACACACATATAGACTGTTCTTTTTAGCTGAATAAGTGAAGTAAGAAAACATATACTTGTCTCACTTCAACTTATTGCACCAGTCCAGCAGTGCAACTAAAAAGAACAGGCCGATAGACCACATGAGCGAAAGAGAACGCAAGAACACAAAGCAGAGTCTATCCTTTTCTATGTGCACGACCCTCATTCCTCAAATAAAAGCAAACGCTCGGTCTAGATATATTTACAGAATATACATATAACTAGTATGGACAGTCATTGGTCTAGTTTCCATTGAAACCTTCAACCAGATTCTACTTCGCACTAAACGCGATGTAGAACCGAACTTAAGCCGATGGAAACGCGATTAATCTTTTTCACTACTACTTTACTTCCAATCGAAACACCATACTACATTCACTCCGCATCAAAGTAGAACCGGACTAAAGGCTTCAGTGGAAACTAGACCGTTGGGAGAGAGAGAGAGAGAGAGATAATACGTGTGTATGTTGTGTATGTGTTTATATATATATATATATATATACGCAACGGCGACTGGTACAGTGGGCAGCTAATTTGGAGATGAAGTACTATGTTCGGTAGTCAGTGAGGTGGCGACTTGAAAAGACATTATTAGAACGCACTTAAAATCGTTATTGTAGTTATCGAATACAGCGAGTGGAAATTAAAGCAAATTATTATTGTTGTTGTTTCGCGTAAAAGATCATGTCACAATTTCACAAGATAGAGATCAACAGAACAGAATGGGAGGTACCAGAACGTTATCAAATGCTTACACCCGTAGGTTCGGGTGCTTACGGTCAGGTCTGGTAAGTGACGCGACACGACAGGAGCAGCAACATATTAGCAGTAGGCATCTTATTCTGCTTTAATTGTATCTTCTATTTGACGGACATATCGTGCGCCGTTCAACACAAGACAGATAGTTATTGTTACTTATTCTCAGCTTTGAAATAAATATCTTGCTTTAAGTATATATAATTGATACAAATATACATTATATATACATATATTCAAGCTTTGAGGAATGAAGAAGAGATACAGAGAAATAGAAATATAAGACATTATTAAAATCAACAAATATATTACAATAATATTGTTTTAATCAGTAACGCATAGTGTTAGGTTGTTTTTGCTATACTTTATATAAAGTAAAATATATATTTTAGTTTAAGGACAAATAAAACAAAATAAAGTGTAGAAAGTACCATTGAGGTAAATAGATCATTATAGATTAGTATAATTAGTAACATGATACCTCAATTAATAATAAATCATAATAATACTGAAGTGCATTAAGAATTAATTTACTTATAACATTCGTATAAACTATTTAATCGAAATGTTGGCGAAAAATATGATTATAATTCTCATTTTCTAGAAATAAATATATTCTTAATTTTAGTTCTGCTGTCGACACGACTACTGGGCAAAAAGTGGCAATTAAAAAATTAGCTAGGCCATTTCAGTCAGCTGTTCATGCAAAACGTACATATAGGGAACTTCGTATGTTGAAACATATGAATCATGAGAACGTGAGTAAACATAATTCATATAGAGATGCATTTTATGTTCTTCATTTATTAAGAAAAGTTATATTAACTTCTCATAGGTGATAGGATTATTAGATGTCTTTCATCCTTCTACATCTTTAGAGGATTTTCAAAATGTGTAAGTACTGATATATAATTTTGTCTTGCATATTATAATTTTATTATATATATATGTGTATANATATATATATATATATATATATATATATATATATATATATGTATATACAGAGTGAGGGAAAAATACCGGAACCTCGAAATATCTCGAAACATACAAGTTTTATAGAAAACAAGTTTTTATAGAAAACTGTTTCATAAAAGTTGTAGGGTTTAAAAAGATTTATTTACTGATCTTATCAGTTTGACCTTGAGTGTTGTCGCCAAAATCAGGACAGGTTAAATTTTTGAAATGGAACCTTCTATTTTTATTGCATATTCTTATAGCCTTCCTTTAGACCTTTGCAAAATACTACAATTTTATCCATCAAAACCATAGCATAATTATTCGAAATATATCCCTTCCGAAGAAATACAATCTTTACAACGGTCGTATAGCTTTCGTAAAATCTTCCTTTGAGGTGGCCTCAGTCAAAGCCTTCTGAATGTCCAAAATAGTGTCGAAACTACTTTCCCTTCAGCTTAATTTTTAGTTTTGGGAACAACAAATAGTCACATGGTGCCAAATCTGGAGAATATGGGGAATGATCAAGGACTAGGACCAATTTGGAAGCGAGAAATTTACGCACGGCGATGCACTCGTGAACCGGAGCATTGTCATGCAGAAGCGACCAACTGCCTTGCGTTCGATATTGAGGACGAATCCGACCAATTCTTGCCAGCAAATGAATTTGTCTCTAAAACAAATTTTTTTGTCTAACCAATTTTTTTGCATCGCCTTAAAATGATGTAAATTTTTGGTAAAAATCAATACCTCTACTTTGACAGGCCGCTATTTTGTTATTTTCACACTTTGAGCCAGTTTTGGTGGTTCAGTACCAAAAACAAGATTTAACGAATAAAATGAACTTTGGTTTTTTGATTTCAGGCTCGAACGGAGCTTCGCGAGCGTGGCATAGCAGACTGCGAACTGGTCTGCTATGCCAGAGGTTCGTTTCCCAGCAGAGCCAAACATTTTCATACGCTCGTCTTGTCTTCTCTCGGAAGGCAATGGCAAACCACCCAGAATATCTTTGTCAAGAAAACCTCTCTATTAAAATTGCAATTTAAAATCGGCGTTAATAAGCTGATCCGAATTAGATCTTATATGCCTGTGTATAATCAGCGTGCGCACCATAGGCATATGAGAGAGAGAGGTCACTACGCCTGGCCGCAGGCAATATGACTAAGAAGAGAAGAAGAACGGAAATGAGGCTAATCGCAAATTGACCATGTTACCGCGGATTATCATTGGTCGAACCATTGTAGCGAGAGAAGGACAAGCCCAATGTGGATGAAAAATTCTGATATATTGACAAAACATGTATCTTTTATGTGTAAAAAAATCAAATCGATTCAATGAATAGTTTTTCTTTAAAAAAAAATTCCTAAAAACATCTTATTTTTTCAGCTCCTAGACAGGACTCCCCCTTAATTGGCCGGACAATTACCGATCTTGCTTTCGTTGGCTGGATCATCCTTCGATCTTGCCTTAATTGGTTGGATCATCTTCCGATTTTTCTTTTAGCCTTTGTAGGACTAGATATCTTTTCGTAAAAAGCTCAATAATTTCGAAACAACTTATTTAAAGTGGATGAAATTACAGTGTTTTGAAAAGATCTGAAAAAGGATTGTAAGAATATGCAATAAAAAGTAGGGGTTTCCGTTACAAAAATTTAAGGTGACTTCGTCCTGACCTTAGCGACGCCACCCAAGGTCAAACTGATAAGATCAGTAAATAGATCTTTTTAAACCCTACAACTTTTATTTGAAACAGTTTTCTATAAAACTTGTATTTTTTCGGGATAGTTCGGAGTCCCGGTATTTTTTCCTCACCCTGTGTATGTATGTACATTTATAGGTACTTAGTCACACATCTAATGGGAGCTGATCTAAACAATATTGTAAGAACACAAAAACTTTCTGACGATCATGTACAATTTCTTGTTTATCAAATACTTCGTGGCTTGAAATATATCCATTCTGCTGGAATTATACATAGGGTATAAATATGTATATAATATATATATGCATGTTCGTAGAAACTATAGAGCGTGAAATCAATTTCCCATAAATTTCATAGGATCTGAAACCATCTAACATAGCTGTCAATGAGGATTGTGAGTTGAAAATATTGGACTTTGGCTTGGCCAGGCCCACGGAACATGAAATGACTGGCTATGTTGCCACTAGGTGGTACAGAGCACCCGAAATCATGCTTAATTGGATGCATTATAATCAGACAGGTTAGCAGTTACAATGAAAAAAGATTTAATGTAAAAGGTGTTACTAGCTATGATATATATATATATATATATATTATCTTATATGGTGGTCTAAAAATCTGTTACCATTTCAAAATATAACCGACTTTTGGACTATTCTGTATTAAATATAGCAATCATTATATAAAACACTACAGTAATACAGTCATATATATTTTAGTTGACATTTGGTCGGTAGGATGTATCATGGCAGAACTGTTAACTGGAAGGACATTATTTCCTGGAACAGATCGTATCCTTTGTTAACTTTTGATATTTTTTCACACATTCTTTTTTCATAAATCATAAAGTAGATATAAATGTATTTTATATTTTTAACAAAATGGTCATTAATTATATTTAGTAAATATTTTTTTTTCACCTATAATGTTAATAAGTATGCTTTTTCCTAAAGACCTACTGCCAAATGGTTGATATTTTATTATTATATTAAATATTTAAGGCTAATATATATCATGACATAATTAACATACTTTTGGAAAAGTTTTTACATCTTGCAACATTATAATTTGGAAGCTGTCTGTGAATTCACTGTGAATAAAATATGTGAGGGTGTGTGCGCGCGCGTAAAAATATTAATACAAAAGAATTAATATTTTTGAGAAGATATATAATAGAGCCTTAGCAAAAACAGATATACATCAACTAAACCTAATTATGGAAATTTTGGGGACTCCACGAGACGAGTTTATGAAAAAGATATCATCAGAGTCGGTAAGTTGTTTTCATGTTTTTTTTGGTAGTTTATATTTTATCATTTAAGTCAGGGATTTTATATATTATTTTGTTAACACATTTCGTTTAATTATACTGATAAGGTGAAATATACTCAGAATTTGTAAGATTTATTTAAATCATGCATAAGATATAGAATAACATATTTATATATTTTATTACAATGGAAATGTTATTACAGGCCAGGAATTATATTCAGAGTTTACCACCACTGAAGAAAAAGAATTTCAAAGATGTGTTTCGTGGAGCTAATCCTTTAGGTAAGTAAAAAAAATTTATTCAAGGGTCTGTGTGTGCGTATGTGTGTGTACGAGCGTATATATATCGTTTAGAATACATATATAAATAGTATAACTAAATTCTTATTTAGCTATTAATTTGTTGGAATTAATGTTGGAACTGGATGCTGAAAAGAGAATTACTGCAGAACAGGCTTTAGCGCATCCTTACCTGGTACAATATGCAGATCCAACTGATGAACCAATTTCTCTACCATATGACCAAAGTTTTGAAGATATGGATTTACCAGTGGAAAAGTGGAAAGGTAATGCATTCCTGCTCATTTCGTTTAATTCAAAGCTTCACATTTTGTTTAATATATATCCTTCCTTGTAGAACTCGTATATCATGAGGTTGTTAATTTTATTCCGCAACAGCCATCCACATTGCCTTCAGCTTTGGGAACAACTTCGTAAAAATATGTATAATGTGAGTGTAATATAGAATTAAGCACAATAAGATATAATATCAGCAAAAGATAGATAATCTTGAACGTTATAATATTCTATAATTGGTGGTATAATTAATGATATGGTCACACGAACGAAACGAAGAAGCAAATAAAAAATAGAGAAAATTAATATTAAAATTAATATTAATTTAACAAATCTCTGTTAAATTCCAGAAATTTAACATTTTTCTCATGCTCTTATAATTTTTAATAAGATTAATTATCAGGTAACCAAAAAAATTCCTGCGGTTTCTCATGATGGAAATTAAACATTTTAATACAGAAAAAAGTATACATCAAGTTAAAGCGTACCGATTGACTGACGCTTACCTGTGCCTTACGACGTATGTAAAACATTCAGTTTTGCAAACCACCAAAAAATAAAACAAGCCATTGCAGTAAATTCTACCGAAAACTGCACGGACTTTCTTGTTACTTCGATTTAAATCGATTAGATCGATTTAAAAAATTGACAATATCTTTTTGTGTTTAAAAAAGTCGACCTTCAAACGATCGCATATAATATATTATATGGCACATTGATTAGTACTTGGAATGTAATCTATTTTAAATGTAAATATTTATATTCGACATACACAATCTGTTTACATACTTTTATTGCTGCATGTATAACAACTAATCGACAGGCTGCCTCGACTGCTAAGAACGTATGTCATATTAGAGTAGGTTAATGTACAAACCTCAATAATAGTTATCGAAGTATGAGTAAATAAATAAAGGAGATACATATTCTTGTTAAAATATATAAAGATAAAAATTAAGTTACTACCAGATTTTGAAAAAAATATTAATTTCTAATTTTTATTTTTTTAATGTAGTTTTACAATTTCTATTTATTTGCTGATAGACGCGTTGTGAAACAAATATAATATTTCGCACAATGCTGATTTAAGGATGGAGGAAAATAAGTATTATTAAAGANAAATAGGATAGAGTAATTAATAAACTAAATTAATAAAATTAGTTACCTATTTAGTTTGCTGTATTTATTACCACTGAGAGGAATTCGAACAAGCACTAAAATGTTTGATACTTATAATAATAATGATTTGATTAATTTGAAATTTTTCTCGTTGAAGGTTATTCATTCTCGTTTTGTAACATTATAGAATTCGTACTTGGCTCATTATGGCCCTATCCTTTTTAATTTTGTATTTTCATTGAGCTTCTTCATTTACAATTATTATTAACTCTTCCATTTCTAATATAGTATTTTCCCTCGAAAGTAGACTTATACATAAACAAATTTAGTTTTATATGGATATGCGTAAGAATAGAATAAACTAAAAAATTTTGAGATCTACTTCTCATATAAAGTTATGTTTCTATTTATATCATCTGTTACGAAATATTTTGGATACTAACTATTGTGTACAAGAATATTGTATATATTTTATAAGCATATGTGTAGTATATTGTTATACAGGGTGTCGAAAAATAAGTGCAACTTGCATTCAGGTAGAATTATATAGTGAAATTGAACAGAAAAGTCCTTTACTATTTTACAAATACAAGCATGATAATTTTTTGAGATATTTGAAGAAGATTAGCTAATTACTTTGCGCGGTACGGTGGGACGAACTCTACGTCTTAAAAGATATGTCTTCAATTTGTTTCCTGATCTCCTAACAACGGCAAATATATGTCACGTATGGTGTCGGCTCGCGCTGTCTGCAATATTACTCCGCCTTTCACAATACTTACCATAGGGTAATGAACCAAGGCAAACTCTGTTTTACAGAGCTCATCTACTGCGTCGCGTACACGTAATTTGCCAATGCTTTAAGTTAATATCTCCAAAATTATTGTGATTGTTTTTGCAAAATGGTAGAGGACTTTTTTATTTAGTTTGACGAGCTTGCTCCATACACAAGCATTGCTACACTTAAGATTACAGATGTGTATATTCGAACTTATCTGTGCAGAAGGTGTAAAATATATATTTTTGTTGAAAAATCAATAAAACGTAAACTGTTTAATTGCATAAGTCTGGTTTATTACTTTTTCTAAAAAAAGGTGTACAAATTAGAAATCGTTTCATCGGAATCATCATCTATTTTAATCAATGTACTAATCAGATCAATGTAACTGTTTGAGAAAATCGATTTTTTGGCATTTTTACCGTATAATCTTAAACATATATCTCGAAAGTATTTGGATCCCGGAAATCCCGGAGAATTACTATATGCCACTTTGAAGCAAACGGTGCACAGAACAAAAATATATACATTGTATGCAGATAGATGAACTCAATATAAACAAATTTACAACCAGTTTTAATTTTTAAAGGGAATTGCAAAACATCTACCGATATTCTCTAGATATGATACAGATTATTTTAGTGTTGTACGTATAAATGGATATACAGGATAGGGAAAAAGTAGGGAGACGTATCTATAAATTTGTAGTGTCAGCGCATTTCGGGGCACATTTAAAAGGGTACGATCGAGCTGATAAATCGAGAACGCTATTAAAAACTCCCGCCAAGTGCAACGAGTTTACCTGAATCCATCCTGAAATTTCAGAGTGGAAAAATCTTTCTTTCGAGCTGCACTCAACTGAGTTTCCGAACGACATTACCGTCGTCATTTGAACATTTCCGAACAGCGCGAATCTCCACAGGTGCACCCGAGTGAAGTTACCGAACGCAGTTTTAATAACTGTTGCACGAAACTCTTATAAGATGGCCGCTCTCAGGTTTCTATCTGCCATGGCTAAGACCGACTCTATCTTCTCGCTGTTCGTTAATTCAGCGACTAGTTGGGAAACGGGTTTAAGGTCAGTAGGATATGTCAATGTTAAATATAATATATTAATTAAATAACTAAATATAATATGTGTATATAAATATAATATCAGTACATATATTTATATTAAATAACAAATAACGTGAAAGAAAATGCTATTAGAAATCGGAGAATGCAGCCGTCCAGACAGACGTATTTCGATGTTTTCTGCATCGTAACTGCATCGTAATGGCGTCATAAAGCATATATTAAATGTTTGCGTACTATGTTCAGCATTTTTGCTTATCTCAGTAAAGTCGTTAATTCCACAATGGAACTATAATTATATCGAAGCAGTTTTTACACAAAAGCAGTAATTATCTATGGCATTAAGAATTGGAACAATCCATATTAGGAATGTTATATATTATGTATATTATAAAATTAGGGGCTTTCCTATGATTTTTTCTGAATTGTACTAACAAATCAGACACAGAAATAATCCAAATTCTTTCGATCTCAATAAAAGCTGACTAATTTTCTATTGTCAGCAATTAATCATGCATGCAGAAAATGTTCTTCCTGCTAAGCAATTAAAGCCTGAATTGATATATTTCAGCAATATATTTCGCTTGGCTTTTCATTCCCATTGATGAATCCATCACTATCGACCAGTTTGCGCCGTGATGCGGAATCAAAATCTGCACGTAACGAAGATGACCGTTTAATTATGCGGTTGAGAAATGACGAGGAGATGCTAAGACGCAGGCGAAAATGGATGCGCCAACGAGAGCTGGAGAGAGAACACGAAATATTAAAAGAGCACATGATAAGGGACTATGAGAAAAAACGGGCAGAAGCTATGAAATTACGCAAGGAAGCGTCTTTGCGTCATCGAAGCAAGAGCAACAGTAAGTCACCGACGTATCGACATAGAGAAAAATCTACGTCGAGTGCTACTTCCAAGTCTGATACTATGTTCACAAAGTAAGTTACAAGCATATAAGTTATATTTGAGTATACCACTGAGACATTCTAAGTAATACCAATAGAACATCGATTTTTTTCTAAAAAGATAATCATTATATTTTATGTCAATTCTATCACACATACAGCTATTAAAAGCAAGATAAACCTTTGTAAAAAATTGTCCTAAAAATTCAGGTATTTACACAATTGTTTTAATAATCTCTAATATCTAGGATTACATTAACGTATTGATTAATTAGAAAGAATACTATTCTAGCCAATGTAAAATACAAGTAGTGATTTATAATGATGTAATCAGCAAGTGAGAAGTTTTTCTCTTCAACATGAAGGAAGAGAAAAAACATGAAAAAAATGCTTATATTATTTTTATATCATATACATTATATAGTTATTATTTTTTAGAATACATAGAGAGAGAATTAAAGATAGCGATTATAATAAATTTAATATATCACAACCATATTATCTTTAGATTAGATGAGTCCACAAGTGGGGCAGTACCTTTATTCGAGAGTCCTAAGGGCACACAGATTAGTACTAAAGAATTACGTCGAATTAAAGTTGATATTCGCAGGAATATTCCTGTGAAAGAGCCGGTTACTGAACACATACAACGGGATATAGTTAATCCCGAGGAAGTAATCGTCAAGAGAAGAGCGGGTAAAATATTCTATTTTTTTATATTTACGTATTTTTTATGCGAAAGTTGTATCACTGGATGACAATGTAATTTATTGTCATATAGTTATGCAATCTTCATGATATCGTGCGCACGTATGTGTGTGTGCGTGCGTGTAGCAACAAAAGGAATTTCGCTATAAATATAGATCTTATAATGTAGATTGATCGTTTTGTTCATTCACATATTCAAACTGGACGCGAGGCAGTGTCAGAAAAGGAAGAGAAACAGAAAAGAAACGCTAACAAACGAATCAAATGAGCACAAAAGAATATTGCAACCCTCTTGTTAACTATATTTTATTCTAACCCCTTGTGTTGGCATTTAATTGTTAACTCCTCTCGCGTGAATTTGGGGTTTTCTTAAGTTGACGCTTAAAAGAAACAAAAGCGTTATATTATATGCCTGATGCTCATTTTTACCAACGTCGATGATTGAAACGATCGAATGATTAAACTTTAATTTGAGTTTAATGAACAAAGATTTAAATTCAGGTTAAAGTCTAATCGATATTAGCAGAAATAGGTAGAAAACGTGCTACGATTTTGTCTCGTAAACGGTAAAACGTCTGGGAGATGTGATTCCAACGCAAAGGGTCGATATATTTATATCAGTGATGTCACATACACACAATATAACACGATATAGCACGACACGTGTTTTTCGAGATTTTGTTAACTCAAATAACAAAAAAAGGCAACAAAGAAGATGAAAGAAAATACATTATCATGAAGAATTACCGTTATCGTATTTAACTGGTTGGCAAAGTAGAATACCTGCATTTTCAAGATTGCAATCTCGTGAGTCACGCACTGAAAGATATGATTTACTCTGTGACTCTTTGCGATCGTTGGTTGTCTGACATATTCAACACGGAAGAAATCAGCGAGATACAAGATTTTATATTATCGTCGTCGTGGTAACCGCAATAACCACTATAACGACTGATATTTACGTCTTTTATTCAATCGGTAAAATAATATTATATTACAAAAATTACAAAAATTTTACCTGAGAATTTTAACGTTAAAAACATTAAAAAATCGGAAATTTATAAACGATATGAGACATAAATATTTAATAAAAAATAAAAAATATTTTATTGCTTCAAAAAATGAAAGATATACACGTGCAATATTATCTTTAATTATTTATTATAAATATATATTTTCTTTTTTATTTCTTTTTTTATAAGGATGTTATAACGCAATATGCGATATAAAAACTTTCCTAAGGGAAAAAAATATATATATGTACTATAATACATTTTTTATAATATATTTACAACTATCTGAATATTATATAAATATCAAATAATGAGAATACCTGAATTATATACAAATTGATATGATAATTGATGAAATATGATAATTTTAATATGAATCAAAATCAACTATATCAATGAATATTCGAAAATACTATATCAGAAGATACAGAAGATTTCGGTAGAAGAATTGAGTGACATTATGCAGATATTCACTCGCTTTCGTGTTATCCGTTGCAAGAATAAAACCGATCCCGCGATATTATTACTGCATTCTTACATGAATTTTCACAAATTATGTGGATTTCTTTATGGGTTTTTATTCTCCGAAATAGATTCACGTAAGTTCCTATGGATTTCCACGGAAATCTATCTGGAAATTCTCAACAGGATATATCCGTTCCATTTTGGGTACCTATTATGGAACTATTCGGAATCGATTCCGATTGGAATCCTTTAATTATTCTCCATAAAATACATGAGAAAATTTAGGGAATAATAAACACCCTGCATATCCATATTCAGGTAAGCATCTGCTATGGACGAGAATTTTGATATTTGAGTTTTCCGAATTTTACACAACATTGGAAAATATACAACATCGGAAGATGCAACATTAGGAATATAACAACGGTAAATACAACATCAGAGATGTAACGTTGGAAGATACAACTTTACAGATACAACGTTAAAGACACAACATTGATTGAAGATACAACGTCAAATATACAACGCCGGAATATACAACATCGAAAGATACCAAATCGAAGATGCATCATTAGAAAAACAACATGGAAGATACAACCTTGCACATAGAATGTAGAAGATAGCTTTGAAGATACATCATAATACAACATTGAAGATACAAAATTATATAAAACAAACGGATAATAAGAGCCAAATTGCAGGTTTAGTTTGCGCATATATTTATATTTACAATAAATTCTAGAAGCAGGTAATCTATTAATTAACCTTTAAGCATCGAAACGTTTTGACCATTTTTGTTTGAATATTTAAAAGTTCTCTAATAAGTCACTTTGTATAATTATAAACCTAATCTAACGAAATTATGCAAACTGCAATTAAGTTCTTATTGTCCATTTCTTTTATATGATTTTGATTTGAATCAAGGGACTTCGTAATCTTTTAACTGAAGATATAACATCGTAAATATAAAATTGAAGATACAACATCAAAAAATATAATATCAGAAAATACTGAATATTGAAAAATACAATACATTGAAAGTTACAACATCAGAAGATCTACTATGAAGATTAACATTAGAAGATTCATCTACTATGAAGATTAATATTAGAAGAAGATTCGTCTACTATGAAAAATCGGAACGAGTATAGTCCTCGCTAACCCTTTTATTCGAGCATGTATAGATTTCTTTTTACTTCTTTTGTATAA